ACGAGAGCACCGCGTATTTGAGTCTGCAGATCGATGAGGATTCTTCTTGTCCTGCCAGCCGCTCCTCAGGGGTTGGTTCTGGCGGCGGAGGTCTTCTTCGACCTGCATGGCTTCACGCATGCCGCCAAAGTTGGGCATCTGAACACCACTTCGATCGATGCCTTTCTGAGTCTCCTCAAGCTCGTGCTCCTCGAATTGCAGCTGACCCACCAGGTTGCCGATGCGAAAGTCCGTGATGCCTTTTCGAAAGAGAAGCCATGATACGGCGTGAATGCAGTAGATGACTTTCGGGATATTCTTCTTCTCGTATAGATCGATGAGCTCAAATCTGAACAATTCGGGAAGCTCAATCTCTGCCAGCAGCCGGAAGAACAGTGCCGTGTTGTCGGTATGCCGGTAGGTGAGTGGCGATCCGCGCCATATGCGTTTATTGCCCAAGGCCTTCTGCTGTTCAACCGGAAGTTTAGGAGCAAGACGAACAACTACCTCTGCCAAGGTAACACCATCGCGTAGGTGCTCTTCAAGTTGGACGATTGGGGGCAGCTTTTCAGGTTTCAGAACATCTTCTATCCATGCTCGGGCTTCTCCAATGTGACAAAGATATTCATACGCTTGTAGATGTTTCCGTTGGGTGTCCATCCATTTCGTGCTTGAATATTGCGAAGCAAAATTCGACTGCTTCTGAGCGGTAGGCCTGACAGATCCTGATCTTTGGAGTTTCCTTCTACCCATCAGTCCTGCTACCTGCTCGTCTGGAGAATGCACGCTGAGATCCTCGGTGGACTCGTGTGAGGCAGCCATCTTGCTAAGATGGCGTAGCTGCGGCGTTGAAGACTTCTGCAAGGCACCAATGTCTTCACCATCGAGCTGCGGAGGGACGACATCCACGGTGTTGAAGCGAACATGACCTCGTGATCGTGGCTTCGTGCTTGCACGCATGGAATCTGATCTTGACAATGATGCGATGCTGTTCTTGTTGGCGAATGTCGGCGAGTGCGGCGGTTTCAAATCGGGGGACGCAGGTCGTATCGATATATCATCACTATAGCCTCTCGAATGGCCAGGCGATCTGGTTGGAGGCGGCGCAGGCGATGTCGCGCCATCTCTACTTCGCGGCCGTTCTCTAATATTCTCTTTCGACTCCGTGCGGATGTGAGAGAAGGCATTCGAGGCTGGCGGCTCGCGTGATGTTGTGGGAGGGCTCGCATTCTCCGCTACGGGCTTGAGCACGCTCCGGCTCTCACTCCTCCCAATGCCCTTGCGCCAATCATCGTCGCGCACTCTCTTGGGTGTCACGTCCATCTTGGAGGGACTGCGCTGCAACTGCTTCGACTCCTGCTCGGCCTGTTCGCGCTGCTCCCACTTGGCAAATGCGGCGTTTTTCTTGACCGGCGACTCTGATCGATCCCGCTTTGCGCTGGTCGGCGTGCGCGTCAAGAATGGATCGTTGCTTGCGGTGGAGTCATAGCCGCTGAGCCCTCCCAGACTGCAGCCAGAACTCGCATTACTGCTGAATGTGCCTTGCCGACTCGGAGTAGTGGAACGATCGGTGTCGCTGTTGTTGGAGCGCGTAGAGACTGTATGCCGCAGGGGCGACGACTTGGTGGGACTGTGATTTCGAAAGCGATTGTGAGGAGGGCTCGTCGGCGAGCTCAGCGCTGAATAGGAAGGCATGGCGCTGGTGACTGCCCGAGTCAGGCCAGGCTGTGTGGTGGGAGAAGTTGTGTCTGCGAAGATGGAGGAAAGCGTAGGGTGAGTGTCCCGCGCGTGGAGGCCGTTGCTATGGGAGTTTCGCTGCAGAACTCATCGTCGACAACGTCATAGCACGCTTCCTACTTTCACATGCATGGCAGACAGCGATCATGTGAAAGCGAGAAGGTGAATGCGAGAATCTGGCGAGGAATGCAGAGGAGTCTGGAGGCTGGTGGGACGCGGCCTGGTTGCACAATTGATGTCGGAGCTTCAATGTTGACTCTTCCATTGTTTACTTCTCGCCCGGTTCCCGCCGAAGATCTGATAAGACCCATCGGGTTAGCGTGATCTGGACCCTGCACTGATCTTTTTCCTCACACCGAGGCGTGTCGCCCTTTTCCTCTCCTTCTCTTCTCTCTTGGGGTAAGTCCATTTCCTTGATCGCGCGACAGCTTGGCGACTCCAATTCTAACAGTGAGCCAGGCACATCAATCTACGACCCGCACATCCAAAATGGCCGCCGCAAACAGATCTTTCGATATTGACGGTGTCCATCTGAAGAAGCACCTGTCGAAGGGCGTGGAGTTGAATGGACATGCTGCTGAGGAGAACAGGTATGCAGACGCCTCCAGTGCGCTCGAGGCCTTGGCGCTATACAAGCAGAAGGACGGCATCTCGGTCGAGCAGCTGTTGGACGAGACGAAGCAGGGTGGCCTTACATACAATGACTTCCTCATCCTTCCAGGATATATTGGCTTCCCTGCGAGCCAGGTCGACCTCACGAGCAAGCTCACGCGTAAAATCACGCTGAAGACGCCTTTCACATCTTCTCCCATGGACACCGTGACCGAAGACAACATGGCAATCCACATGGCTCTTCTTGGCGGCGTAGGCGTCATCCACCACAACTGCAGTATCGAAGACCAGGCAGCAATGGTCAGGAAGGTCAAGCGATATGAAAACGGCTTTATTACCGACCCAGTTGTCATTTCGCCTTCCACCACTGTAGGCGAGGCCGTGGCATTGAAGGAAAAGTGGGGATTTGGTGGCTTCCCAGTCACTGGTGAGTTGCACGCCTCTTTCCTCACTCTTGCCACTCCCTCGTATGATGCTACAACATCAAATTAACTTTCGTTCAACCGTATGCTCTTGCGCCAACGTGCCTCGAGTACTGTGGAGAAACATCTTCTGACTTCCCACCCAACCCACGTTCAGCACCTTACCAGAATTTGCTGGGCATCACTGACATGATGCCTTGTAGAGAACGGGAAACTTCGCAGCAAGCTCCTCGGAATCGTCACCCCACGAGACACTCAATTCCACTCCGACTACGATGCGCCAGTCACCGAAATCATGTCCACAGACCTTGTCACTGCCTCGGAAGGCGTTAGCCTTTCTGAAGCCAACAACATTCTCAGCAAGAGCAAGAAAGGGAAGCTGCCAATCGTCGATGGCTCCAACAACCTCATTTCACTTCTGAGCCGAAGCGATTTGATGAAGAACCTCAACTATCCGCTCGCCACAAAGGTGCCAGGTACCAAGCAACTGCTTTCTGCTGCGGCAGTTGGAACCCGCCCAGTCGACAAGGAGCGCATTGCCGCTCTCGTGGAAGCCGGCCTTGACGTCGTCATCCTCGACTCCAGCCAGGGTAACTCCATGTATCAGATCGAGATGATTCGGTGGATTAAGAAGAACTTCCCGGACTTGCAGGTCATCGGTGGAAATGTGGTCACTCGCGACCAGGCCGCTTCGCTGATTGCAGCTGGCGTTGATGGTTTGAGAATCGGCATGGGAGCAGGGAGCGCATGTATCACACAGGAAGTCATGGCTGTTGGACGACCCCAGGCAACTGCTGTATACCGCGTCACCGAGTTCGCCGCTCGCTTCGGCGTGCCATGCATTGCCGACGGCGGCATCCAGAATGTTGGACACATCGTCAAGGCCATCGCTCTCGGAGCGAGCACGATCATGATGGGTGGTCTTTTGGCAGCCACAACCGAGTCACCCGGTGCATACGTTGTCGGACCAGACGGTCAGCTGCGCAAGACCTACCGAGGCATGGGCTCCATCGATGCAATGGAAGATAAGAAGGCCGGTGGTGTCGGAGACAAGGCCAATAACACTGCCAAGAACGCTGGAACTGCACGCTACTTCTCGGAAGGAGACAAGGTCCTCGTGGCCCAGGGTGTCTCCGGGGCAGTGCTTGATCGCGGCTCCGTCACCAAGTTCGTACCATACCTCATGGCAGGTGTTCAGCACTCTCTGCAAGATGCTGGAGTTCTGAGCGTCCAAGCTCTGCGGGAGGGTGTCCGAGCCGGCGATGTGAGATTCGAGTTCCGCACAGCTTCTGCACAGGCTGAAGGCAATGTGCATGGCATGGTCGGTGTTGAGAAGAAGCTGTACTCATAATTGCTTCTTCGTAGGCACAAAGGCTGTGATGCGGCAAGGCAAGTCGTGCTGTTTTTGAGGGGTCCAGAAAACGGAGTTGGCTGCTTGCATTGGGACGATATCAAATGATTTATGTACGATGAAAAGAATATCATATTGGAGCCACGCTCCTCCCTCTTTCGCTTCGCTGCCAAGACCTGGACAACGCCACCTCAGCTGTCAAAAAGAAGTCTCCTTCAACATGGCTTCTCTGCAATAAATGCACGACTCTAGATTTACCTCGGATCTTCACTGGACCTGGCAGCAATGAAGAGATCGAGAGCCGAGGCGCTCGCTGCGAACTGTGTCAGCTCATTCTTTCAGCTATTGAATACGGACCATGGAATTACAGAGGCAAGCTAGATCAAGAAGATGGCTTTGTCCTGCATCCAGTCGCTACAGCAGCTCTTCAATGTAAAGCTGTAGATGGAGAAGTGACATCGAGAGCGTTCAGACTCTATATCTACACTGATGAATTCGAGGACGCGGGAGATGTCATGCTTGATGGAAAGGACTCTAGACTGCTTGGGAGGCCAGCGCGCAGATACGGGCGTCTCACGGAACCCCAGCAAATCAACTATGGTGTGGTCCAAAGCTGGATATTGGACTGCGAAGCGCGACATGAGAAGTGCAATGAGGCCTATCGCTCTGTACCTGCTGTCCAGCACCTTCCAGAGCAGTCGCTGCTAATTGATTTGCACAAGCAACGCCTGGTCCACGCTCTACGGAATGCTCAGTACACTGCACTCAGCTACAAGTGGGGAGAAGCTCAGCAGTACCTGACGCTTGAGAAAGAAATAGAGGCTCTTCAAAAGCCTGGAGCCTTGACTACTCGTCCGCTGCCATCGACCGTTCGTGACGCCATTACTCTCACCAGCAATATTGGTCTGGAGTACGCTTGGATTGATGCAGTCTGTATCATACAGGATAGCCCATCCCATAAAGCCAAGCAGATCAGTCAAATGCATCTGGGATACGGCTGTGCTACTGTCACAATCGTGGCCGCCTCAAGTGCTCACGCAGATGATTCACCACTCCACGATTCAATTCCCATTTCAATCTCAATCCCGTGAGATCTGCATTTGGATACGTATGTCCCACCGCCAAAGCAGAAAGAATACACGTCTGGCTGTGGAAGTTTTGTCGTGGTCATCAACCGATTACCAAACTTTGGGGCCGAAAATTGGGATTTGCATGCACGATCATACCTAACATGTGATCAATTTGATTGTTGTTGAGAGGCAATGGGAATGTTGTGAGGAGGATTGCTATGGCTATGGCTGACGATTGGTGATGTGGGAGTTTGGAGGGATGTGGAGAGGGAGTGGAGGTCGGTGAAGTTTTTGTGAGGGTTACCTATGGTATACGGCATTTGGGCTTGATGATATGTGAGAAGTAGTGATTGTTTCGTAAGTCATTCGTCTGGTTCGATGATCGTGTTATGGGCTACTTGACCTTCTCTTTCTTGTTTTCCTGGCATGGCGGAGCGACGTCGTCAGTAAGGTATCAAAGCTGGAGAACAGCAACTGAGCACTACAATGGATGTACTCAAGCAGCAAATATCCCAAAAGACGATGATTGATGTAGTAGAAGCTCTGCAGCGCACAATTCAACAGGGTATCAATTTCGCCGCTGCCAACTTCAGTACAACATTTGAGATCAACTTCATCGAAACAACACACTCGCGCCAGTTTCCAACAAGCCATACCTACACCGCGCCTCCATGAGCTGACACATACAAAGCAAACTGGTTCGGATTCCTCGTCTGCATGAAAACCGTCCCCGGTCCAGAAAACTTGCACACCAGACCTTCGCCCGCGCTGATGTTGCTGATGATGCCACCGCTCGCGACGCGCTCTACGACGTAGTTGCAATTCCATGCCACGAGGTGGCCGTTGTCGATGATGTATTTCTCGCCTTCGCGGAGCTAGACAAATTTTTGTTAGTAAGGTAGGCAGCTCTGTGGGAGCGTAGAAGGTGTTACTCACATCTTTCCTCAGAATCGCTCCCATACTCTGAATCCAGCAGATCCCAGTACCTCCAAGCTTATACACAAACAGCCCTTCTCCCGAGAAAATCGCCTTGCTCAGGTTCTGGCTCACATAGTCTCTCGTCACGCCCTGCGTACATGCCAAGAACGCATCCTTTCCAATATTCCACGTCTCTTGCCCTGAAAGTCGAATGTTGGTGACATCGCCTAGCGCAAATGGTGCGAGCAAGAGCTCGCCCGGTCCTGTGAACGTGGATTGTGACATCTCTCCTCTTGCGATCAGCTTCTTCATGCTGAACTTCACGGAACCTTTGACTGTGATTGTGGGTGACATGGCGATCATGGCTCCGGGCTTGACGATTAGCGGGCAGCCCATCGCGAGCTGGATAGTAACGATGGTGTTCGTGTCGCGGTGGGAGATTCGATAGGAGCCGCCGTTGAAAGTTCCGACCTGTATCCAAAGTGTTAGCATGCACTTCACCTTCCCGGCATGACCAATATGCCAAGCTTGAAACGCATCCCCCCAACGCCTGGCCAGAGTCACTTACATCGTCCACTGTAGCCTGCGCTCCAACGAAGTGGCCTTGCGCAGGAGCACCGCCCGGCATACTCGATTGCCTGTTGAATCGAGGACTGGCTAAGGGCGCTTCAGGTTCTTTCTCCTTCTCTTGTGGAGGACCAGGATAGTATGGGATAGACTTCTCTCCGGGTGGAGGCGTGTAGTTCACACCGTTGCCTTCCGGGGAAATGGGCGAGACCGAGGGCGGAGGAGCGAAGTGCTGCTGTTGCTGAGGCGGTGGAGGATAATTCTGCTGTTCGCTCGAAGGAGGCGGCGCAAAGGTTTGTGCTGGTGTAGTGTCAATTTCATTTTGAACATGTCCTTCTTTACAGAGGCGTTCTTACGTGCGCTATCACCTCCTGGAGGCGGAGGAAAGTACTGTGCAGACGCCATATTCTCCTTCCACTTCTGCTCTCACAGGTCGATACCGAGTGTTTCTTCCGACACTTGTTCTGTCCAAAGGCTTGTAACGATGCTGCCTGAGCAAGTTCGTAGCGATCAATCGCCCTCTCGAGTACTGCTCGTTGCAGCGAGCTCGGACGTATGAGGCTATATCATCAATGACCCAGGAACTTAGGGATGTTGGTGTTATGAGAGACGCGAGGAGATTGAAGGCAAGACAACACCAACCTGTTCATGAGCCCATAAGCTGATCTCGGCCGTAGGCTCGAGACCTCCAAGTTCATGTAGTGCCGCAGCTCTCTGAGCTCACTTCCAGCTTTCATTGGCTCCATGCAGGGCGTCTACAGGTCCCGCAACGCGCTGGGCATGGAAGCGGCGCTTAGAGGAGCGCTCCTACGTCTTCCGCCTTGTCGGCCCTGGAACAGCCCCAGCACGTGCTGGTTAGGAAGGATGCTGGAGGATGAAAGATGTTGTTGACTGCTTGGTCAGCAAAGATGACCCTCTCTTGCGAAGAGAAGAAGGGTGGTGCAATGCCAAGCCCAAGCTCAAGCCTGTACTACTGTAGAATACACAACCTGAACCCTTGACCTCCTCTCCTCTACTTCGACACCTCCACAATCGACGACAATTCTGCCATCGTGGGAGCGAGCTTGTATAGAAAGACACTTTTGGATCGCATTTCCTCCTTACGGGAAGGTCTCATCGAGCCACGCGTAGCTTGCTTATGCCTTGGCCTGGAGATATGCAGCTGCTCTAGACGGGCCTGCTCCTTCGAACGTCCCCTGCCGAATACCACGAAATGCCTAGCGACATAATGATCTCAGCCACAAGTCTCAAGTGTACGGATGAAGCACGGCACAGCATGCAGACGCATTGATCGATCGAAAAAGGCCCATTCTTGTGGCATTGCCTCCCGTCAGCAATGACCAAGGCCTTCACTTCACGGCTCTTCAGCAGCTGCAGATGCACTCGTTGTTGTTCACAGTAAGAGCCGGGCATGCAAGTACGGTGGAGTCCAGAATATTCTGCTGTAACCTGTTGGAGGTCGGACTGGGTGATGCGGAAAAGCCACGACATCTTACACGTCAGTCAATACTCAAGCATTATCGCAGCGTCAATTTGCTTTGCACCCCAATGCAATTCGGAACCTTGGCATCCATTCCAACATGATCCCGTCCAGTCGTCCCTCTGGTTAGCGGGATAGCGAAGCCCGTCAGCGCGCAAGTACACCGGATCACATACGACTTCCCCCCGGTACACTGAGCGGTCTGAGGCCTGAAAGTCTATCGTCAAACCCGGTCGGACGTTCAAAGCCATGCGCTGCTATACCGCACGCCTCGTGGTCATCCATGTGCTGCTTACGTGCGTCCTCATGTCGCTGATTGTGGTACCTCCATACATATCCTCTAATGCCGAACCCAGGATACCGCACATGCCGCTTACGGCTCGCGCTGAAAGGCAGTCTCGACTTTCGCTCTGCTCTATCTTTGCGTGGCTACAATACGACTGCCAGATGGCAGTGACTTGCCCGCTCTGTATGACAAATGCTGTTGGTCTTGAGACGAAATCTGATGGATTTGGTTACTACCGTTTGATTACACTAGCTGGACAAGACCGCGCTTTGGAAAGATCTGATAGTGCAGCAACTAAGTTCCGAGAATGACATCCTTGCTATTTCCTACGATTGACTTTTGCACAGGTTGCCAACCATGAATATATCACAGACCTCCTTGCTTCTGTGTTCGCCTAAGGCGGAGCTGGCAAGCGAACAGGAAGGGAAGGATTGTGATACCTCCTCGGAGCAACTCTTGATACCAACCGGATCACTCAGAGTCCTGTACCAAGCGATCTGGCATCATGCAGCACTATTGATTCAGCACTCGACGAGTGCAATACAGTGCATTGGCAAAGGTTGATGATGTTCGATAGCATCACCAGGCCGCTACGAAAGGGGCTCTTGTGGAAAAGCACAGCAAGTCTGAGGACTATATAATGCTACTTCTTGTCCGGCGAATATTGTTCTTCACACTTTCCAGTTCCAGCACCTCTCAAGTCATTCAGATATTACCAACCCAAGGCGATCTCGGTATCTCCAAGCAATTCAAGCACAATGCAGTTCATCACCACAACCATCTTGCTCAGCCTCAGCGCTGCTGTTATGTCCGCTCCTGCTGCGGCGCCTGATGCTGCGCCGAATGCTGCCGCCGAGGCGGTCCCAGTCGCCTTTGCAGCCCCAGCCGCAGCCCCAGAGCCGGTGTTGACAGGCCTCTTCGAACGGTCAGGTTCGGAGAAGGCTTGTTGCCCAAAGGGCAAGAAGAGCCAATGCTCGCCATGTGCTCGTACGTCAGCCATTGGAATATCTCATGCCTCGCAATCTCGCTAATTTGAGCAGCATCTGCACAATGCCCAGCCGACAAGCCAGACAAGTACAGCTCTTGCACCAAGATCGGACAGGTCGGCTTGGCCAACGTAAGTTTTTCATTATCGCAAGCATTATAGTTCGAAGAGCATTGGCTGACCAAGATTGCAGCTCTTGCTCTGCAACGTGCTGAACGGTAACACTATCAGCGTGCCAGTCACGCTCAGCGTTCTCAGCTCGTGAAGGAACTCCATGGTGTCGTTGGCGAGCCTGGAGCCAGGTTCACATGAGACGACGAGAGACGGGCATGATGTTGACGATGATATGTATGATTTGGACACTCCTTGGCTTGCTTCGCTTTTTTGTGATTTATTGCGTACATAAAAGCTCGTGAGAAACACGTTCGCTCCGCGCTCCGCGCTCGGATCGTGAACAGCGTTGAAGTCCTCCTCCCTTGTGCTAGCCAGTATCGTGAGGTGGTGTTCGGTCGGTTCGTGGCAGTTTCGGTGAGCCGTATAAGCCGTAAGTAAGCCTTCTAACTCCGATATCAGCAAGCATTTGATGACTCCAGGCTGCAATGCACCAGGCTACATGCGTTCCGGACCACGCGATGACTCGAATTCACCTGGGTCGAGCTACTGCACGAGGGCTCGCTCCTTCCGTGACGGCAGCTAACCGTGTTGGGCCACCGCCAGCTCGGTGTCGAAAAGACGGCGGAGTCGCAAAGCCTCAATGCGACGGCAGGCATTTCGCATTTCCAATGCCTGAGCCCGCCGTCTGAATTTGTTCCCCTTCATCAACCTCCGCCCAGTTCGAATTATTATTGCGGTATCCAACTGCCTCGTCCGTTGCAAGAGCGACGACGACGTCGAGACAGCCCCCAGCGGAACTCCGTCGCAGCTGACTAACCGCCACCACCACCTCGCTCACCACACACCACCACCCTCGGCTTCAATCGACCCAAGCAACCCCTGGAGTCCCGTTTTCCAGAGAAATCTGCGGTCCCTATGACTTCCGCAGCGGACACCACTCCGACCTACTTCGTCTACCGCGACATCCCAGCCGGCGAGCCCTTCGACCCAACCTCGCCTTTGCTCTTCTTCCCTCCAAAGGGATCTGATGAGCTTTTCGATGCTCTTCGTCTCGCATTCCCTCACTTGAAGACCCACTCTGAGCGCCTGCGTGATGCTATCATCAAGTACCTGCTCGAGGAGCGCCACGACGAGCAGACGCAGGTCTCCCCAGCTCCAGCCCCAGCCATGGACATGTCAGTGGCGTGGCCGTCTGTATCTTCATCCGGCTCTGCTTCCATGCTGAGCAGCCCAGAGATGCTCGACATGTCTACTCCAGCATACTCCCCGCAGCCAACTGCTCCACAACTCACCAGACAAGCTTCGGTTGCAACGTCAAGTCAGCAAAGTCCACCGTCGTTGGACCAGATGACGAATGTATTCAGTCTCTCTACCAGCACACTGCCAAAGCAGCGAGTGCGACGAAAGATGACTGAGGCCGAGAAGGTCGAGTATCGCAAACGACGATGCGAAGGCATCAACAACCTCGCCGGACCATCATCAAGCGAGATGTTCATGCTTCGTCGCAGAATACCACGTCAAGACGTTAAAGTCAAGTCCGAAGGCCATGATGTCCCCGCTAGCAATCCCATGTTCAGACGAACCTGGTGCATTGGCCACAACGACTCACTCGGATCTCTCTCGCCTGGAGCCAACGGCGGTGCGTACCCGCGGCTCGAAACAAACAACCCATCAAGTGCATTCGGAAAGAAAGGCTCCGAGATCGAGCGTGCTCAAGGACCAGCTTCCTACCCTGCAAATCGCAATCAACACCCCGACCGACACCGTCTTGCGGAAGCCGCCCAGTCTGCCATCACCAAGTCTTCTCGTGGGACAATCATCCAGTCAGACTCCAAGACCATCGACCGCAACTTGTCTGCCACCGCCAATGTTACGTATCCCGTCACTGTGGACAAGAAGCGAGACACGAAACGCGAGAAGGATCACTTCGGCAGATCAGATGCCAACACAAACCTCATGCTGGACCAATTCCAGGTCAAAGAACGTACGAAAGATTACTTTGGTCGTCTGGCGATTCAAGCTGGACTGGAGTTCGCCTTGCTCGCCATCTTGGCGAATTATGTCAACGCTTCGATCTTGCTGCTGGCGTTCCTCGTACCTGTTATTCCTACTTCCATGGGCTATGGAATCGTGCAGTGCAGCGAGATCAACTCTGCGTGGTTGCCTAACTGGCATGCTTTGGCGGGTGACGGAAAGGGAAAGTGGATGAAGGGATTGATGTATCCTTTCACTTCTTCGCTCGCGAGCAGAAGTATTGTGTGCTAAGGGAGGAAAAGTTTCGAATTTGTGTGAGATACTAGCCAGGTCATTCTGTTTGTTTTGAGCTGATGCGATATTGCTTCTTGTTCATTAGCTGTGCTTAGCGACGGTTGACTATCATAAGACCGCTTTTGGCACTAAAATCTAAGGTACCAAAAATGAGCTTACGATTACACCACAACCATCTCGTATCTATCCCACACCACCTGTCTCCTTCCAGACCCTCCTTGTGTGCCTTCCTTACTGCATAAGCAAGACTCCAACCCAGCTCTCGTGCCTTCCGCTAGAGCTCTGAGTGAAGATCACCTCAATCCGTCCTAAACCTCAAAGGCCCACTCGCCCTCCTAATCCTCTCCCCAAACACCTGCAAAAACAACACCACAAAAAACGCCGCTCCACAAATGCCCGCTTGAATCCCCAAACTCTTCTTCGTCCCCATAGCATTCGCCCAATCAACTTGAAAATAACTCACAATAAACCCCCCCGTCGTCCTCGCAAAATTTATCCACGCGGCCACCTCTCCACTCCCTTCCGGATAACAATCCAAACAATACGCCGTCAACGCGACCGTCGTCACCATAATCCCAAACACATAAAATCCCCACCCCAACGCGGCGAGCATATAGTGCCAATGGTTTTCCAGCGCGAAACCGAGGATGACAATGCCGGAAACCATGAAGGGTGTCGAGAGCCAGATGGCCGACAATCGAAATTCAGGAACCAATGTTTGAGATTTCGATCGCGAAGTGAGGAATTTCGCGAGGCAATCGTGGAGATATCGCCCGAAAAGTTCTCCCACCGTGGCGCTTACGACCGGAGTGAAATAGAAGAATCCGATTTGTTTGGGTCCGAAATTGTACAAGGGAGTCACGAAAATACTGAGGGTTGTGTTGATGCCTACGACCCAGGCGAAGGTGAAGAGGTAGTAAATTACCGAGAGGAAGATTGTGGGTTTGAGAAGGACGATGAAGGCGCGAGAGCAGGCTTGGGGGAAGGTGTTGCGGAGGTGGCGGGTGCGGAATTGGGAGAGGCCGAGGAGGCGGGAGACGTGGCCGCGGATACCTGGGGTGCGGTGGGGCCGGGAGTGAGGGGGGAGTTTGCGGTTGTAGTAGGTTTCTTGGCCGAAGAGGATGATCAGGAGGAGGCAGAGGGTTGTCATTATGGTGTAGATGTGGAAGGGCCATTGCCATTTTTGGGTTGTGATTATGAAGGCGGCGATCATGGGGCCGAAGTACTGGGGACGGAGGAGGTTAGTGGGTGGGTGGAGGGATGTTTGGGGAGGAGGGTGTTTGGCTTACGGGTGATAGGATGACGAAACTGGCCCAGATGTTGATCTTTCGGGCTCGTTCGTGTACGAAGAACATGTCTTTGATGAACATCATGCCTCCGCCTTGTGCTACGGTGGAAAAGAAGCCGTTGAGAATGCGGAAGGCCATGAATGTGTCGAAATTTGTGGCCTCTGCGCAGCCGATTGCTGTCCAGAGGGCTGTGGCTGTGAAGTAGAAGAGGATTGGTAAACGGCCGAAGTAGGCGGAGAGCATGACGACGAAGACACCGCCTGCGCCAACCATGAAGACGTTGCCGGATTGTGAGTGATTGACGTGGTTTTCTGACATGTTCCATTCTCTGTGAGGCTGGGTTAGTGTGCTGCTCGGGAGATGAAGAGAGGAGACGTACTTGGCCTGCGGTATCAGCGTGACGGCTCCTGTCGCGCTACCATAGTCAGGCAGGAAGGATGTTGCAGCTATTACGAGAAGAACGATATGTTTTCTCGTCCATGACCAATTCAGCGGATCGTCGGGATCCTGTGATGGCTGAGGTATGAGGACTGTCCGTCCATCCGCGGCGAGTTGATAGTCGTTCCATCTCGGCGAAAGCTCCTTCAGTACGTCTACATCCAAAATGTAGCCCTGCTCTTCGCCTCTGGCTTCAAGATCGATGTCAAGCTCGCTGTTCTCTTCGCTACTCGTTTCGGCGGCCCGCGTCTTGTCTTCGCTTATGGCATGGTATGGTCCTGCTGATGACACAGGAGGAGTCTTCTCATCGTGACCATTCTCGACATTCTGTGCATTCTCGCCTCTTTCGACGTGCGCCATATCCGTGATGGAGGCTCGGTAGGAAAGAGGATAGGGCATGAAGCTGGTATTGAAGAAAAGGCTTTGAAGCTAGAGAGATGGATGAAATTACATTGCAGGCCTACCTCGTGGCATAGGACACGGGCTTCTTGAAAAGCTCCGGAGGATCACAGTGCTGCATCATGCAGAGACACCGAGCTCGAAAGACGAGGCAGCTTGTTCCGAGCTCGCTGTAGCAACTGGCGAGTAGGCCTGCCATTGCCAAAAAAGGTGCTGTATAGGCTCGCATTGGGAGAGAGTTTGAGCAGCTGTGGTCGGGATAGAGCTCAGCATGGGAAACAAGAGCTCCACAGCTCCAGGATGTCAAAGTTCTCTGAGAAATATTCTCGATCTCATTGACAGGCTCGGCAGTTGAGCACAGCAGAGCATGCGGAGTGAATCTGGTCTGCATCTTTCATGTGCAGCTTTGTCATGCGTTTTTTCGTCAAGTAAGCTCAAAGTGCATGGCATGCATAGCTAGCTGTATATGATGGGTGGTAATTGGTGACAATTGACGAGAAGATGTTGTTGGTCTCAAAATATCATAATCTGCACAAGGATGCCAAGAATAGCAATGATGGAAGGAGGGGTGGTTGATGGGAGGAGGGAAAGGGAAAGTGAAAGTGAATCGGCCGCCGTCGTGCGGCCAATTCCGAGATGGAGCCGTGAAGCGCGTCGCCCAGCCACCTCATCGACGCGGACGCGACCGCGACCGCGCGCGTCTCGTGTTTCTGAGACACCACACATACACTACTCTCGAACGCGCATCTCTTTGACTGCGATACAGCAGCAGTCGCATTACTCTTCGACATATCCTCAGAGTCCATCATAGCGACATAGACATACAGAAACCACAATGCCCAAACGCAAGGCCCAAGCTCTCGATGCTCAGCCGGCGAGTAAACAAACGCGATCGACCAAGACTCAACAGAGCATATACACCTTCAGCAGCGTAGCGAAGCCCAATGTGGCTGCAAATGAAGGGAAGAAGCGAAAGACAGTCCATCCTCGAGAAGCTACACCTCCACCTGCGCCGGTAGCGAAATCGATCGCGAAGACCAGCAAGAGAAAGCGCGAAGCAATTGCCGATGACTCGGACGAAGAGATCATAGTAGCATCCAAAGCGCCAGAATTCAAGGCACCACCACAGCCCAAGGTCTCTGCAACACCACGCGCAAAACGTGTCAAGAATGCGCCTCCTCCTACTCCTCAAGAAACGCCGAGCAAGAAGGCAGCGGCACTTTTCGACCGATTAAAGATTGACGGCAATGCACGCGCGATACCGCTTGATCTGCCCCAGCAGCAGTTGACTTACGACACACCTCCCAAAACGCCAGTATCAGAGGTCGACATTGACCTGTCCTTTCCTCGAGAGCTAGAGGACCTGGTTGACATGCACGCCGCATTCCTCACAGCGCTCTCACTTCACTACTCGCACAACGGCACAGCGAGTCCAGTGGAGCTAAGAGAATTGCTCTCCGCGGTCACAAAGCACTGGAAGAAGCGAAGCGTAACACAGTCCGACATTCAGCGCATGCTCGCATTCGGCACAAATCAGGATCGCGCATTTATCCTTGAAGACTGTGAAAGAGCTGGAATCCGTCTTTCAAGAGCAGAGCCCAGAGGACGCGTCCTAAAGCGTGCTTCCAGCTACATCAACGAAGATGAATTGAACACGCAGTTCGAGAACGCGCTACAGAAATCCTGGCACAATTGGCAATCGAGCACTGCGAAGGAGAACAGAACTGCCGCAGCTTTTCTCGCCCAGCTTCCACTCCTCGACATCTCGCAAAACGAGGCAGCAGCAAGATCTGCTCCACTCTTCGCAAAAGGCGAACAACGCCTCGCAGACATCAAAGCTGGAAGAGCAGCAAAGCTGGAGCCGAAGTCCGCGACACCAGAACCTTCAACTACCACCACCAAAGTCCCGCAATCTTTACAAAATCGCGGTACAGCTCTCCTCGATCGCATCCTCGCCAAGCAGAGCGCTGCATCTTCCCTCCCAGCCGGCCCAAGCAAAGCCCAGCTCGAGCGAAGATCAGCCCTGCAACGAATCGAAGACGTAGCACGCATCCTCTCCCTCATGACCGGCACGAAAGAACGCGCTACCTTCAGCATGCAGGTTGTCATCCAGCAACTTCAGCAAAGTCTTCGAAGTCCAATCAGCCAGGTCGAGGTGTGGAGGTGTTTGAGTGTGATGAGTACGGAGATCACACCGGGTTTCGTGAAAGTTGTGCAGAGCGGTGAAGTGCAGGGCGTTGTTGTTACGAAGAGTGGGAATTTGGCTTTGAATGAGTTGAGGGCGAGGGTTGAGCGGGCGTGTGCTTGAAAAATACGGTATTACTGTTGGCGATGTGGTATGACGTTACTGGTGGCATACATACATAGCATTGTGAGGGTTGAATGGAAGCGTTTTGATCACATGTGCTGTGCTCATTTTTCTCAAGCAGCCAGCTTGTTGATGGCGTGGGCTTTCTCATCATGGCATGACAAGTTTTCCCTCGACGCCATGATTTGTGCTTCCTGTAGCGAAGCGCTTGATGTTTATTAGGCATCAGAGGTTATACGCCGCACAGCGAGATTACTACTACATCCAATACAGATTCCACGCTATGCCTATCTGCAACGGCCAAGCAAAAAAGTCTATCTAGCGTTCGGCTTCAAGCATCGTGCCGTGCAGGGCTGACTCTGCCCTCTCCAACCAATCCAGCAAGCTCTACCCGCACGTTGAACAAGGCGTGGGCATGGGTGATGTTGTATACGTTTTCGACAAGAACCTTATTATAAGCTTGCCTTCACAATCGAAGATTCGAAGACGCACAGAGAGAAGTCCAGATGTTGATGAATGTGTCTGTCTCTACACAACCGTTAAAAGTTCGGAAAGTACGGTCGTAGTGGATGGTCTGGTCCACGCTATTGGAATCTCGCCACGCCACACGTGTGATGGTAGAGAACGCTGGACTGGACTGGGCTGGCCGGATGCTATTCCGAAACTAGTTCGAGGTCACGTACAAAGCTACTTTCCGTAACTCCCGTGGTCGTTGTCGTATCGTGACCTCACCAACCTCTGCTGCTACTTCTCCTTCTTCCTCCTCCTCCGCGCACAGTCTTTTGTGCGACAACGACAACAGCATCATCGTATAACATTTACATTGGCCCCGAGAATCTGGATCTAGTTTGGACGCGAAGAAAAAAATGGCTTGCTCGTCGAAGATCTGACATATACATCTAACCGACAATCCACATTTGTTTGGTTCTCACCAAATGCCTCCTATAAACTGGCCCCCTCGCTCCCTCATGGTACATTTTGTCGATAGCGTCACGACGCCACAGCAGCAGCGAAAACCCCGAAGCAGACCTCTCCCCCTTCGAATGAGGACATACAGCGTAGCCGGAAACCGAAGCGCAGACTTCGAAGAAACCCCAGACGGAATTTACCCAAGACACAAATCGATTTCTCACACCCATACCATCGACAACGCACACTTCACTCCTACAAGTCCACTCGAAGATTCCGAAGAAAACGAAACGTTAGAACAAGAAAGTCCACGACCCTCCTTGGAAGACGAAGATCTCGGCTCCCCGGAAACACCTCAAACCTCACTCTCAAGCCAAAGAAGTTCTCTAGAAGTCGATGAAAATCCAGACGTGCTTCTCACCTACGACTTCTCCACACTCGACTACGAGCTAGAACGCGCGAAAGTGTTAGGCCAGGGTCTGTGGTCGACCGTCTACTTAGCAAAACCGAAGAAAACGACGACTACTATCCCGGCATCATCATCATCATCATCATCATCCCCACGCAGAAGAAAGTCAAGAACTTCCTCCACCCCGCTCCTATTCGCAATTAAAACCCCAGCCCGCCAAGACGCACGAAAAATATTCCACCAAGAAGCCCGCGTCCTATCGCATCTCCAACGCCGCTCTGGCGCAAATGTATACATCGTACCATTCCACGGTCTCGACCTGCGAAACTCATCGCTGGTATTCGAAGCCATAACCGGAGGCTCTCTCGAAGACTTAACAAGCCGATTACGAGTCATGCCGGAAGTCGCACGCCACATGGAGCTGATCAGTCTCTTTCCGAGTATAGCGTTTGATTTAATCAGTGGTTTGGAATTTTTACACTCGAATGCTGCTGGGGGGGTTATACACGCCGATATCAAACCCGCGAACATCCTCCTCGAAATTTCACAACAACAACAACAACAAGATACGGGAGAAGAAGAAGGAAAAAATCGGGCTGTGGTGAGAGCGAGATATATAGATTTTTCTGCTGCGTTTATGCCAGCGAAAGGTGATTCGGCGTCCGACGCGGGTGGGACGTGGGATTTTATGGCTCCGGAGCAAATGCGGATTCATCAGGTTGATTCAAGTATGCCGACGTTTGCGAGTGATGTTTGGAGTTTGGGGATGACGCTTTTGTCGCTCATGGTGGGAGGTTCGCCGTACGCGGCCGCTTGCGGGAATAATAATTTTATGCTGCGCGAGGCGGTTAAAAGTGGGGATCCTATCGGGTTTGCGAAAATGGATCCTGTGCCGGCGAAGAGGCTTACGGCGTGTCAGGATTTTGTGGATTGTTGTCGGATGGCGCTGAAGAAAGATCGAGAGAATCGCGTGACTGCTGCTGCTTGGTCGACGTGGCTGGCGGAGTCGGAGTGGGAGGTTGGGCTGTAGCGGGCACTTGTACGGTAGTGAGTGAATGAGTGATGAATGATGACTATGTCTGTCAGAATTGACGACGACGTGGAAAGGCGCTCCGAATTTCAATTTCCATTCAGCAGCTTTGTTGAAATCCTGCTGCCTGCATGGTAGAACATGCTATGCCATTTCTGCCGAGCTTGAAGAGGAGATGCTCTCCGTAGATCGTGTAATGCCGTCCAGATCTTTTTTGCCCACAACGACACGTGAGCACCATGAGCACCTGTTGGTAAAAGGAATGAGTCACCGCAAAGTCTTGCCATCCTGTTCACGTCTCAACTCACCAGCTCCGATTCTGCCCACTCTGCTCCCTCCCCAAGAAATCCTCCGTCATCCGCTCATCCTCATACTCCTTAACAATGGCCCCCACGGGAACCCTCTTCCTCACCGTCGTCTTCATCCTCCCCCCAATCCCCACAATTTCCTGCGTAGAATAAGAATTCCCATTCCAATTCCTGCCTTGAAATTCCGTCTTCGCGGTCTCGGCTTCCATGGCTGCAAGTTCTTCCGCATCACATTCGACATCCTTCTCCACCATTCTTGCAGCAAGACATTCTTTCGTCCTTCCACATTCCACGCCCTCGTTGCCTTCGCCTAAACCGGCACCCATACCTCCACAGTGCGAGTAGCGGGTACGCCACTTCCATCCGCGAACGTAGGTCGTGTCGGTTGTTCGCATCGCTGTGCCGCAGGGTTGGCAGATCCAGACGATGTCTCCGCAAGTGCAAGGATCTCGTGCGAACTCGCGGGATTCGTAGGTCATTAGGTCGTCGCCGTCGTCATCGTGGTGGCTGCAGAACGTGTTAAAACTCCTCCGCATGCATGTGTTGCATACCACACAATCAATGCTTGCCTTGTACTGTTCCCATCTTCATCCACAGCACGGATTTCCGTCGTCAGACTCCCGAGCGGAGACTTCATGCATGTTCGACATAACCTTCTGTGGCGAAGCTTGACGACACTTGCCGGAGGGGTTTTGATTACGCAATTCTGTGAGTTTTGTGAGTTCTTGTGTTGAAGCTACAATGGGGCTCTTTTTTCAGTCCCGGGTTTTGTGTCCATGTTGCTGAAGTGAAGTGAAGTGGAAATCAAGCATACTCTGCAGATAATCTTGCCGCATTTCCGACACTCTCCTACCATATCTCTCGCGCAAGCTCCAATTTTGCCGCTCGTGATGCGTCCGATTTTCGTGCCGTTTCTGCCGTATGTGGTCCACACTTGATGGCTGGCGTGTAGAGCATTTCCCAGTCGTTCGGCTGGGTTGGTATTTTCATTATCGCAGCGGAGAGTCTGAGAGATCAGGTTCGCTCTGTATCCGAGCAAGTTTGCTCGGATTTGTCGGCATGTTTTCGAAAGGTTCTCGAGAGTGACCAGGTCGATATAGCGTGCGAGAAGTGTCACGATTCTGTGATGTTGGTTAGATATTTGCCACCCCCTCCCTTCCCCAGCTCAGTTGTGTGCGCGTGTAGCAGTGTATCTCAATGGCAAGGTGATTGCACTGCTGTTCCACTTACGGGTAGCAGGACAATGCTGCTGAGAACTGGCTCAGGTTTGGATTGGGTCTGCTATCCTCAATAGCGGATTCTAGATCATGGCTTAGATTGCCGAAAGGACCGGCCCTTAAATCGGCATCTTCCTCCAAGTCAACGAAACGGACCATGGCGCATCCAGCACGCCAGAACGCATCTGATACCCAAGAGGCAAGTGTGGAGAAAAGTGAGTTGTTTGTCGGATATTGAGGTCGAGGACGATGCTTCCGGATGTGGAGACGAGCCAGGTAGAATACGTATTTAGTTCAAAGAAGTCACGGGGACAGCTCCGCTGGATGTCGCAATCGACAGATTCAGTAGCTGCTCTGTTTCGCATCATACAGTATATGTCCAGCAAACGTTTGGCGGCTTGCAGAAGAAATGACCCGTCGATGGGCACAGACTTCTGCTCCGACATGGCACATCAACATCCAAGAATAATACCAATATCGTCGACCATGAGGCTATGCAAAAGAGGTCGCTGAAATCTCTGCAGCAAGGCGCTTCAACGCAGCCGAATCGAGAAGTTTGATCGATATCTGGCTGTAGACTTGTAGACTTGTAGTATGGTGTTCGTTTCGAGAAGACTTCACTTCACTTCGCCTGGCACTTCCACATTCTACGCGCGCGCTGTCTCCCTCTTGGCGGGCAACGATCCCCTGCAAGCTGAAGAGCGCGACGGCTGAGGGTGCTAGTTCTATTCTACCGATCGTCCGTTACGCGTGGGAACGTTGACGTCGAACATTCTGTAAACCTAGCACGCGGGCATTATTCATCATAGTGGCGCCCACAGGATGTCGTAAGGCTGTGCAAACAAGGCGCACTCAAAGAACGCAGTGGGTAGAATAGGTCAGATGTGGTGGGGGTTGGCTGGGCGTGAGACTGGAGCTGATCCTTCGGCACCGTAGAGCGTCCAGCTGAAATCCACCCGCAGGCGACAACTGCAACGTCTGGTGCTACACAGCAGTAGTCGTCGGCGGCGGCGGCGGCGGCGGCGGCCCGGTTGCAATGGCATGCCAGTCGCCGCACATTATTTCTGCGTGGCCTGAATCCGGTGCCTGGCCTTCGTGCGGTATTCTATGCATCTGCAGGCGTCTTCTTCTTTCCGCAACAAGCGATTTGACTAGCCTATGAATCCGACCAGAGCTGCTCCCTCCTCCCGCTCTCCTTGCTTTGCTTTCCCTCTTCATCTACTCCGCCTGCATACCCGTCTCTTCTTGCCGCTTTGAGGCTGTGATTGTCTGCATCTCCGAAGCCACGCCAGCGCCTACACGCGACACCCCGGACGTGCCTATCTGTCCTCCACATAATGCACTCTGGAGAATCTGATCCCTCCGCCTTCCCACGCTCACATCAGGGACAAGACGCCGGCTGTCCACATGGCAACAAACGACCACGAGAACCATCGAGGACAAGTCTAGACATAGAGCCCACCGATGCCCCTTCGAGCTCCAGAAGTCGCCCAATACTGAACCAGCCCCCGTCCCAACGCGCGTCCTCCCGTGACACAAATGAAATGCACCGGTCCACGACTCCTCCTGAGGCTTCCAGGTCAGGGACAATAAAGTACACTCGGACTGGACGAGTGAGCAAGGCCGCCAAAGGACAGCGGGTCCACCATTGTGAGGAGTGCGGCAAGGTATGTTGCGCACTGCGACATCCTTCAAGCCAACGGCCACTTTGAAGCGTTTGCGAAGCCTTCATTTGGATCGGGATTGAGTAATGTCCGTCCCATGTCCTCAGTTGCTGACAGCCTGTAGACATACACTAGGGCAGAGCATCTGAGGTAGGTACATTGATCGACTGTGCCGGAGACATATGACTGATTGGTAATCTAGACGACACCAGCAGAATCACAAACCTGGTGCATTTCCATGTGACGTACCAGGGTGCGGCCGTTCGTTCTACCGCGAAGACCTCTTGATTCGACACAAGGCGAGACAGTAAGTCTGCTCTCACTGGCCCCAGCACTACCAGAATACCCGTTGAAGTCCCGCTAGCAACGACCCCAATGACCGACCGAGTCGAAGAGAGAGTGTAGCTTCAGCACCCGATGCAGGTGGATTTGCTCATCCAGACCATCTTGGCAGCGCACCAATGCCACCTACGATAGGTTCGACCACTAGTACAGTCGCACCAGAGCTGCGCGCAGACACATCAGACCCAGATGGACAGCAGTCGAATGTATCCTCGAGGTACCAGCTTTCGTGTTTGTCTCCTACCTTCGACCCTTTCTTCCAATCTAATGGCGATTTTTCCTTGTGAGTTCCGCTGGCTCAGGCACGAGGGTGGAAAGCAGGTGTTTCTCATATCTTGCCGCTCTGTTTCAATCTCATTCACCGACCTACGCATGTTTCCCAAAAGAGGGGCGATTGGCTGACATGAGATCCTTCAGGACTCCCAAGCGAATGCCGATTCCACCAAACGAATTGTGCCCTGGTGCTATCCCACTTGCTGTTGGTGGTCCGCTACAACAGTCTCACAATCTGTGGCAGCCAGCTTCACCACAGACTCCGCCGTGTTACGATGACGAATCGTCAGATGAACATTCAGGCGCTTACTTTCACCCCGAACCTGTGAGAGCTAGGCAATTTTCCGATGCATATAACTTCATGTACGACCAACCACAAAGCAACTCGCGATCACCAGCATCTACGGCGTCCTCGACGATGTATCTGCAGTGGCTATATCCGACTGGGTCCGGCACTCCATATGAAACCCGAGTTTCTTCTGCCTTCATTCCGAATGCCAATTCACACATGCTGGCTGTTCCGCTTGGGATGTCAGGGCTTTTGCCTGCAGAAGCACGAGATGTCACCGATCTACAGGATCTTGCTGGCGCGTTTCAAAGCATAACGATTGAGGACTTTGTTGATGGTTCGACATCCAGCCGCGAAGAGTCTTACCTCGAGGCATACTGGACATGGATCCATGACTTGATTCCTGTCATTCACCGGCCGACATTCCATTTGCCCACAGCTTCGCCTCTACTGCGAGCCGCAATATTGGCACTAGGTGCGCAAGCGCTGGGAGGAAGAGACCATCTCAATGCTCGCAATCTGCATGAGCGCTCCATGAAGATCCTCACCAAGGTTTGTCAAACTTTGTCGACATTTTGGCTGATTTAGACTGACAGATCTGGAGCGTACTGTACAAGATGCACACACGTATCGGGTCTGTGATATGCAAGCTATCCTGCTAATAGAAGCGTTCTCAATCTTCAAGTCGAGACGACCTCCGCTGCAGCTGTCAAAGAGCTTCGAGTTGTTGTACACACACGTAAGCGATGTCAACCTCTTCGAAAACCGTGTGAAGGGTACCCACTAACGACTTTTCTGCAGATCTCCAATGACCCGGAAGCTCTAAACCTCGATCTAGGTCGGGCAGATTCCGTCACGCTGCTTGAAGATTATGATTATGCCTTGAGCGCTCTGGAAAAATTCACAAAGCAGCGAATTCTCCTTTCTTGCTATGCGCTTGAACAGCAACATTCTCTCTTGTTTGGCCGCACAAGCTTGGACTGTTTCTCCATGCCGCCAACCAACCTGCCGTTTCCCAACACACAAGCGTGCTGGGATAAATGGCGATACGACCACGCGCTGGACATTCCGCCCTTCGAACGATTCTACGAAGCGCTACGACCTGTTCCGTTCATGAAAGTACCTTCACGCGCACCACATGACATATTTACAACCACAGTCATACTGAATTGTCTCTGTGACTGCAACAACAGCTTTGTAGAGCCACAAATGCTCAGATTCGAAGATGAAAGAGATCAAAGCACTATTCTATCAGCCGCTGAACGTTCGCCGCGAGCACGACTGACTTACCATACCTTCATGCTTTGCAGAAGCACTCCTGTTCGTTCGCTCCTTGCGGTGGCCGGCGAGAGCTGGGTGATGTCAGAGAAGATGAGCAGTCAGGCGGAGTACACGGCAGCACAGCTTGAAGTGTCACAATGGGTGAAGGGTACCATTTACCCTGCTGTTCAAGGCCAAGAAGCACCGACGCAAGAGCAAAACATCACCAAGGCTCTTGACCATGCCTTCGAGATCTTGAAGATCCACCACGCACATCCACGTACGGGAATCATGTTTCAAGAATGGGCCGTACACCTTGCAACGATTCTGATATGGGCCTACGTACACATTACCTCGCGACACTCGCCCAGATCGACCAATACACATACCCTGGATGTCCCGAGGCTGACGCATCACGAACTGGAAGTCGCGACTTCGTCTATTCTTGAGAATGGAAGCACAGGCCTGACGAGTTGGGACCAAGCACTATGTGTCTTGACATGGACTAGGAAACGTTTGGAAAAAATGGATGCTGTCCCGCACCACAATGGATTGCTGAGTGGAGCTTTGGATGTGCTGGGCAAATTAGTGGCTCATGGGGATGAGGAAGGGAGATGGGTTTGATGTTTGATCGTTAACGGTTGTCAGTTGGATTGAAATATATGATATTTAGCGTTCAAGCGTTCGGGCTGAGGCGTGGGGAGAGCATAGCATACCGATACCCGGACCAGGATTGTTAGAAGTGAAATCTTGTTCTTGTATTCTGCGATGCGATCCCTTTTCACGTGATATCTAAACCATCCTCTCGGCTCCCGTTTCCGAGGCCTTGGCTTCAGCCTCCAAGGCTTGTTCAGAGATAGCTGACTTGCTGCCCGCCATTGTTGCACACAACATATTTTCTTTCCTTTCCTTTCCGCTGTCATTGCATGGTCCAATGCGGCGGCGATTCGGACACTCCCCATGGCAAGACAGCAGCCTTCGAAGGCTCATCTCTTCGCCGTCGCAGAGTCTCTAAGCCATGATGGACGACGACTACCTCTCCCTGACAGCATCTGGCTGTCGCGTGCAGTCGCTATGGCTCAGACTTTTGCAATTCCGTTTGCGTTTTATTTCAAATCGGTTGTGGTTTTTATTGCTATGTCGTGGCTGTTCTACCGAGCATACCAGGTCCTCAACAAGCCGCTTGAAGAACTCGCCGGCCTACTTGGTTTCGATATCCCGTCTTGCCCGATTATCGACTTGGCTGCGATCAAAGCAGATGGAGCGATTGTGCACTGGAATCTGGCGGAGAAGCAGAAGCATAAGAGCACGCATAGGTTTGAGGTTCACCTGAACGGGAACCTGATCGATACGCTGTCTATCCATGAGTCGGCTGCGACCATCACTGGGCTTCAGCCGGGATGCTTCTATGTGGTGAGGGTGTCACTGGTCAACAACATGGAGTTCAGCTCCAAGAGCGCTCCCATTCGTTTCCGCACGAAGCACGCTACCACGGGCGACTTCTTCGTTGCTGCGGCAGACGGGAACGATCCAGATACCGACGGCGCTCAGGAACCTGTACCGAGAGTAAGAGCATATCGTGGGCTAAAGGATATAACATCTCCCCCAGCCGACGCTGTGCCAATGACTCGAGAAGGAAGCACTGGTCTTCTGCCCAAGCGGAGTGTGGCCGGACGTCGTGCCTCGCCAAGTGCGCTCGATCTAGAGAGGCACAACTCCACGATTGACGAAAGCGATGCGGCGGAAGGCGCAGAGACGATTACCCAGCTGACGGAGAAATTGGATGCCATTCGGCGGGAGACGGAGGAGATAGAAAAGCAAGCGAAAGAGGAGGAAGAGGAGGAAACGCAGCAAAAAGAGGAACTCATCAAGGAGCGGGACGAGTTGAAAGCAGAAGCCACGGAGAAGGAGAGAGTGAGCAGAAACTTGAAGAAAGAGCTTAAAACGCTCGAAGGCCAGAACACCCACGCACAAAACGAACGCACGAAGCACGAACGGATCTTGGCACAGAAGAAGCAAGAGCGTGAGAAGCTCAAAGAGGACATGATCCGATGGGCGGAGGAGGCGGAGAAGCTGAAAGAGAAGCTGAGACAGGCTCGTCAGGAAAAGGACAATTGCATCACGATCGCGGAGGGCGAGAAGGAAGCTTTGCGCATGCAGCAGGCGGATGAGGTGGCTGCCATCAAGGCTCTGGACGATGAGGTCAAGGAGAAGAGCACAGAGATCAAGAAGCTGGAGCGCTCAATGAAGAACTACTCTCCCAGTGGCGCTGAGCCTGAGCCAAATCTCGTGCAGCAGCTTCAACATGATGCAGAGGAGAGGCGGGAATGGGAGTTGCATTTCAAGAGCCTTCAGCAACAGTATGCGCTAGCCGCGCAGAATCTGGACAAGACGAGACGCATTCATGCCGAGCAGCAAGCGTATCTAGAATCTCTGCGAGCTCGACGACGGCAGGAAGAGAGTCAGCATTTCGCCTCTCCGCCTACGACGGAACGCCCTCTACGACGTGGAGATAGCCAACGAAGTCGACGAGCTCAAAGTGGACCCAGTTCTTCGGACAGCCCCCGGGTGTCTGCATTCGCTTTGACCTCTGCACCTTTCGCCTCTGGGGCCACAAGCACTGCGCCAATGTTCCCGGGCAATCAGCATATCAACTTCTACAACGGCATGACGATCAATCGCCCGACGGATGAGCTGGCAATGTCAGCCGAAGACCGAGATGCTTTGACCGCTGGTGCTCCCATGAGTCCGAACGCTGCTGCCGAACTGCTTCCTACAGATCTTTTCGGTGATGGCGACTTCATCAAGCCCTTACCGGGGTTGGGAGCACTCCCGGGCATGCCAAACCTCGCCGCGCCGGCCGCGAGACTCGACGATTCAGGCGGCCTTGTTCCTGCGTCGCCAGTCTCTGGTGACAGCAGTAGCAGATCTGCGAGTGTCTTTGCTAGTCCACAAGTCAGCCAGCCCAATCTGCCGCTAGGATCTCCTGAAGCTGCGTTTGTAGAAACTGATGGACGTTCCATACGCTCCGTGCGATCCAATCGCGCTCCTAGTGGTGGCGCGGCTAGCAGTCGTTTTAGCGGCATGTTTGGGATACAGCGAAGGGCCAAGACAGCGTCTGCTGACGAGGGGCCTGCTCTCAGCAAGGCCAATTCAATGCCACGGCAGGATGGTGGCATCCCTGGACTGGACTCTGCGTCGCGTAAACGGAACAGTAGTATTTCCGGCTCAATGCTCAGTGGCACTCTAGGTGATGCTTTCGACCCTCCTCCTCCAATGCCTGCTGCGTCCAGACTGAGTAGATTCAACCCTTTCGCAAGCAGGGCACCAGCACAATCGACTGGGGCTTGGCCTACTAGCTTTGGTGGATTTCGTCGTCGCCCTGGATCTCCTCGTCCGGGCTCAACTCATTCAAACGAGCTGCCACGGCCTTCGTTCGACAGCACACGATGGGGTGCAGACGCTTGGCCTTCGGCTGATGCGGCTAGTGGTGCACGAAGTAGCCCTCTTGCGTTTGGTGCTGGCTGGAATGCTCCCTCATCACAGCAGTCTCGAATGCTTGGATCGCGACATCCTTCTCGACGTCCATCTGCGCAGCATGGCGGCAGTGGGCCTCCAGACAACATCATGGAAGATGAAGGGTCCGAACCTGATTCTGACTCTGATATTTTGGACTCATCCAAGGCGGCAAAGCTCGGTCCCATCGGAACAAAACCACCTCCAGGCTCCAAGAAAGCCGAAAAGGCCCCTGCCAACGATGCTCCCAAGTTGAACCCTGCAGCCAAGGACTTCAAGAGTTTCTTTTCAGGAATGTCGTTGACCAAGAGCAAGACCAGGGACAAGGACAATGCATCGACTGTCGCTTCGTCAGCTTCTGGCACGCCCAATCTGCCCCAGCAAGAGGACCATGAAGACATGTCTCCTCCAAATTCTCGGAAGAGCAAAGACACTCGCGATACACGAAGCATGACGACGACTGAATCCTCAATCGCCGAGTCTGGTCGCAACTCTCAAGAGTACCTCGCGCGAACACCATCATACACCAATTCAGACGCCGCAGCCCCATCGCCACTTTTGTCCGGAACCTCAGCAGGCAAGGAATCATTCATGCAGAAGCTCTCCCGCAAGTCAAGTTCCAGCAAGTTCACACTCCCTACCTTCAAACGCGAGAAGTCCCGACTCGACACCAATGTCGCACCGAGCCCTGCGCCTGCTGAGGAAGACGAGCATGAGAATGAAGGTTCACTCAGCGCGAGTGTCTCTTCTGAGAAATTCGCTCCTGGACGTGAGAGTAGGGAGCACGCGCGTGGTAGTGGCAGGAATTGGAGCAATGTCCTCAAGCTTGGAATTGGGAAAAGGGGGAATGAGACGCCGAGTTTGAGCGGTATGAGTATGACTAGTGCTGGTGCTGATGGTACTGATGATGAGGCTGGTGGTCATGGTGGTGGTAGGGATGAGTAGGCGCTCGTCGTTGTAGACGGGGTTATCTTGGAACATCATCATTATTATTATTAGGAGAAGTGACTGCTTTCCGAGCAACCACACCAGGCGGTTCCTCACATCTCAGCTTTATTCATCAAGCCCCTATGATGGACATGATGTGAATATGTGCAAGTATTCTCAATTCCCCATCACACCACAACACTACTACTCAAACCATTGGGACTCAGGAGGGAGGTGAGGTGAGGTGAGGTTGGGTTGATTTTTTTTTTCCTTCTCAGTTTCGGCATTCGTGTTCGGCATCTCGGAAATCAATCTAGGCATGCATGCAGGTGATTGATTATCCACCTCTTCTTCTTCCGTTCGGGAAATTCTCCGCGCGCGGGATTCTACCGCAAAGACTTTCATTCTTCTTCATCGGAAATGGATGTCAGACGATTCGCGAGGCGCTTAGACAGGCATGTGAGAATGCTCGGCGCCACGTTCTTGGACCTGAAACCCAATTCGACCGAGCGTGAAGTTCGGCCGTAATAATTATTTTTTGTGTTCACATATCGTTGTCGACTTGTCGTCGAAATCACCCCTGAGGCTGAGGGCTTGATCGTGCGCGGCTGCGTCCTGGAACATGGATGCTACTGTATGTATGAAATCCAGGCTGATGACGGTCATCCGCCTTTCTTTTCTTCAAACGGACAATATCGAGTCAAGCGTGACATCATGGACGTTCTTTGATCAATAATAATCCTTCAGCCAAGACGTCAAGAGAGACGGCTGTAATTCCTCCCGAACGACAATGACACGCTGGCGACGACGCAGCCGCACAGCTAGGGTGGGGGCCATACGGTCCCTGCGCGAGTAATGGCGGGCCCAGGCCTCGGGAGTGACTAACTACACCTCACTCATCCTACCCCGCCACATGCTCGCTCCTCCAGTAGTACCTTCTCAGCGCTATCTGATATGTCCACAAGGAGACGGCAATGCGTTAGCCGCATTAACCAAGGTGATTCTATAAGAGAGACAGGGTGGCCTGTCGTAAGTGTTTCTTTCGGAAGCTCCCCTTCTCTCGAAGCTCCATTTCTCTGACGATACCCTCAATTGTTCTTTTTGCATATACACTGTTCTTCTGTTGCAATCATGTCTCCCGGAAAGATTTCTACCATCAAGTGGGATGAGTTCGCTAACTGGATCGATGGAAAGCCAAGAGGCAGCAAGGACCATCACTATGGCATTGATCCATGCACTGGCGAGAAGCTCTGGCCTGTGCCAATTGGTGGCCAGAAAGACGTCGATGATGCTGTAGCATCCGCGAAGAGGGCATTTGAGACGTACAAGAACACAACTCTTGCTGAGAGGAAAGAGCTCCTCCAGAAGTTCAAGAATGCTCTCCTTGCACACGCCGAAGAGATGACTGAGTTGCTCTGCGCCGAGACTGGCAAGCCGGTAAGCTTGTTTGCCGATGAATAAGAAATGAATAAGAAGATCGCATGCGCTGACGATGGTAGAAACAAATTGCCCAGATGGAGACTTACGGTGTTGCTGGCTGGTTCGACCACCACTGCTCTCTCGATATCCCAGAGGAGGTCTTTGAGGACGACGAGAAGACCATCACCACTCGATACACTCCTCTCGGTGTTGTTGGTGCCATTTGCCCATGGAACTTCCCAATCATTCTCTCAGCCGGCAAGATCGTGCCAGCTCTTCTGACCGGCAACACCATCATCGTCAAGCCATCTCCATTCACCCCATACACCACCCTCAAGCTCGTCGAGATCGCCCAAGACATCTTCCCACCCGGCGTCGTCCAAGCCATCGGCGGTGACGACTACCTCGGACCAATGCTCACCGCCAGCCCAGACATTGCCAAGATCTCCTTCACCGGCTCCATCGCAACCGGCAAGAAAATCATGGCCGCCTGCGCCAACACCCTCAAGCGCGTCACCCTCGAGCTCGGCGGCAACGACGCCTCCATCGTCCTCCCCGACGTCGACATCAAAAAGGTCGCCCCCGAACTCGTCATGGGCGCCTTCCAAAACTCCGGCCAAGTCTGCGTCGCCACAAAGCGCATCTACATCCACCAAGACATCTACACCGAGATGGTCCAAGAGATGGTCAACTTCACCAAAACCTTGACAGTCGGCGCCCCATCCGAAGGAGCATTCCTCGGCCCCGTGCAGAACAAAATGCAATACGAAAAAGTCTTGTCCTACTTCCAAGACACGAAAGAGCACGGGTACAAATTCGCCGTGGGTCCCGAAGAAATCACGCCGTCCAAGGGTTTCTTCGTGCAACCGACTATCATCGATAACCCGCCCAACGACAGCAAGATTATTCAAGAAGAACCTTTTGGACCGATTGTTCCGACCCAGCCTTGGGAGGATGAGGAGGAAGTCATCCGTCGGGCGAATGCTAGCAATGCTGGGTTGGGAGCTTGTGTTTGGGGGAAGGATGTTAAGCGTGCGGAGGCTATTGGCAAGAGACTTGAGGCTGGATCTGTGTTTGTGAATTCTTGGGAGAAGCCGACGCCTCAGGCGTTCTTTGGTGGACATAAGGAGTCGGGTATCGGTGGGGAGTGGGGTAAGGAGGGTCTCAAGGCTTATTGCAATGCTCATGTCATGCATTCGTACAAGATCTAGCGTGTAGGATGATTTATGACTGTGATGATGATGATGGGATGGAGATTAGAAAATCGCATCTGATATGAAATGATCTCAGTCACCATGAGAGAAGCGTTGTTTCAATTCTTGCAACGATGAGGAATCGTTCCCATGAGGCTTGACAACGCTCATCAGCTCTATCTGTACAATCTCTCTGCCCTTACGCATCAGCGGTACAATCTTCTTCCCATCAAAGCATCTCCCTTCCCACCAACCTAACAGGCTCCACAACAACATTCCGCGGATAAACGTCCACATACTTCATCTTCGCTTCCCAAACATCTCCCTGCCTAGCAACGACGCCATCCTCCACACGCGGACAATTCTCAGGCCTTATCATCGACATCGGCAGACCCAGTTCCATAATATGAACTCCCACATTCGTTTGATTATCAATATCAGGTCTCGTCTGAACAAACACCCTGAATGTTTCACCATCAGAAGTCGGATCCAAACTCTTGAGCAAATCCCCCAGAGAGCCTTCGGGTGTATTAGCTCCGAATCTGACTTTATGAAACATAGTGTAGATTTGCCAGAACCTTTCGGAATACTCTTTCGCGCGCATGATCATGACTTCGCGGGGTTGGAGGCCGAGCATGATCGTTTGGAGGATGGGGAGTGAGAAGGGGAGGAATGAGCGGTCGGATTTAGGGTCGGTTGTGAGCATGGATTTTCCGGTTTCGGCTTCGTGGCGGAGGGCGGCTTCGATTTGCCAGTGGATGATCATGTCGCCGTATCTGCGGAGAGGGGAGGTGACTTTGGCGTAGCGTTCCATGCCCAACATGCTGTGTTTGACGGGGTATGTGCGGAGGATGCTGCCGCCGAAACTTTTCATGTATGCGAGGCCTATGTGGAGTGGGAGGTCCTGGTTGGAGTTGAGAAGTTCTTGAGCTTTCAAGACTTTTTGCATGGCATCCACGTCAACATAATTTGCGTCTGCGACTGTTTCGGAGCCTCGATAGATGATGGGGATGTTGCGCTCGGCACAGAAGGAAGCCGCAATTTCGGCGCAAAGCAACATAGCTTCGGCGACGAAAAGTTGCGAGGAAACGGTTGCAGCGGCGAACCAATTTGTGAATGGTTCAGTGCGCACTTGAACAACAGGATCGCCGTAAACAGTCCTTGAGCCTTTTCTGTAGGGCTGATCCCAGGCTAGACCACTCTGCTTTGAGATCTGCCATACTGTTGCCTCTGGCTTCGGGGTTGAGAAGAAGACACCGCCTCCACGTTTTCGAATCAAGGATCTTTGACGGGCAAGATAGTGGATAATCTTCATGTCGTTCATATTCGCTTCACCAAACTCTGAGATTCCACTTTTTTGTGCACGGGATGGCGGAGGAGTTCCATTGACATTGATGAAGATCGCATTCACACCGACGTCCTCCGCTGCACCCAGTAGCTTGTTGAGCTCGTCGTAAGTAATCCGTATCACATTTCGGACAATGCCAGGCTGGACTTTGTACTCCAATGTATTGCCTTGTGAGTCAAGCTTAGCGCTGAAGGTAAGACATGGTCTGTTAGGCCCTAAGCTGAAGTGTCTCTGCGTCGCCCACCTTGGCAACATCATGTAATTGCGTTCTGGCATATAGATGGTCTCGCCCATGTGTCTGGCCATCTTAGCCAAGGGATGGTCCCGTGAGAAGAATGCTGTGGGGTTGGCGATGTGGATGTGCAACCAGTGCAGCTCTTGGCCATCGGAGCCTGCAACTGCCTTCTCAACCGAGATGCCGTCGTCAATCTCTTGTGCAGAAGCATCGTCAACGCAGTAGACAGGGAGATCCTTCCAATCGTGTCGAAGCTGGGACATAGAGTCGCGCAAGTTGTGATTGTCTCGCATGGCCATCAGGCTGGCCATGAGGTTTTGAAGAGGCTTGCTGTGTTGAGAGCTCGGCAACAGCAGATGTTGATCGAAACGGACACGGTTGTCGTGGGGCATGACCACACCCAATTCTTGCAAGAACATGAAACCCGTCGCAGCGGTCAAGTCCATCTTCTGGCCTTCGATATCATTGTAGAGACCAGTAGCATGGAGAATCAATGGCGGCATACTGGAAATCCGAGGCAGTCCGGTAAACATCATACTGCAGCACCAGGCCTCGAGGAAGCGGATAACGTCTTGCTCATCGTCTGTGAACTGATGACCAGTCTCGAGCCTGACGCAGCCGGGATTCTCCTCGGTGAGAGGCAGTCGTGTCTTGCTTGGACCAACGTTATGCCACAGTGTAGGCTGACGATTCTGTCGTTGCATAGCGACAATTTGCTTCGACTTCTCGACGAAGCTGTAAAGAATGCGAGCGCCCTTGCTGGGCTTGTGCTTGTCCGCTTGCCGTCCGTTCATACCTGGTGTGATCGCAAGATCGTCTTGCCATTGGCGAATCCAGTTACGTACCTGCTCCACCATTCTGACCTGCTCTTTACTGCGAATCTGCATATACCCAGTGATTCGATGAGAACGTCGATCGATGTTAAATGCAAATCCACCATTTGTCAGGGCCTTTCGTACTGTGAACAGTGCGGTCATTGGCAGCTTGTCGGCAGGCAATTTGAGGAGCGCCATTGCAGCAGATTCGAGCGAGCCGTAGCGCAAGTCTGTCTCGTGAGCGAGGAGGTTGTGCGCATTGTCCAAAGCATTAGCATGGCGGCGATATATCTCCTGCGCTTCGTTGTAGAAGCCTGTTAATTTTCGAACCAGTGGTGCTGCTACGGGACGAGGTACAGACAGATCGTCAACCATGGCCTTCGCCCTAAGGTCTTCCAAGTCTGCTCTGCTTTGAACATTGGGCAGATACTCCAAGATTGGCTCAAGCTCTTTCGCGTCGACGAAGCCAGAAATGCTGTATTGTGCCGCTTTCTGGTCCAAGTGCATCCACCTTCCATTCATGGTGAAGAACTGACCCATGGTGGAACCGCAGCGGCGGACATAGACAGCAATAATGCTTTCACGCTCGCTTGATGGATATTCTATCTCCACAAGATCGCCAGGGTTTAGAAACCGACCAGACTCATGAGTGGTACCATCATAGCCGTCCCTCCCGGCACCTGCAAGGCTTGAGTATTGCTCTTGGCTTTCCTCCTGCGCCGCATTGCGATTTATGGCATTTTCGTCTGGTAGCCGGGTCAGATTGTTGTAGGTATCGAGATCGTGAGAGATGACCTCTTTCGGCGTGAAGTCAGGGACAGTTTCTTCATGACCATGCAGTTCGTTCCACCTTCGTAGCTGAGCCCTTATTCGGTTAGGGTTTGAGCTCGGCTTTTCTTCCGGGGCATCTGGGGGTTCATCGTCTTCGAATTCGAGTTCATTGTCTTCATGATTTCGTTCTGCAGATACAGCCTGCTGTACGAGCCGTGAGGAGGAGTGGTACGATCTGGTGTGAGCAGGTGCGATTCCATTCCGGCCCGGTTGCATCGTAGAAGTTGTCTGCCACGCGAAACCGCTTGATGACAGCCGATTGTGCTCAGCTTCAGACCTTCCGGAGTTCGAAGAGTTGTTATATTGTACGTCTGGGTGGTCATCTTCTAGCCTTTGATCAAGAGCATGAGAAAACTCCTGCCCCAATTCCTGTCGACCTGGCTTCAACTTTTGGAAAGGGTGTCCTGGAGCAGCAATCGGCGTATACGCATATGGACGGTGCTCTGATGCTTTCAATTGAGCCTCATGCTCCAGTTCTCGCCGCCAAACATTCGATATCACATCGTGAACACTCCTCAGTATCTTGCCATCAGGATGGGATACCGTAGGTCTGTTGTTGAGACCCGAAGAGCGCTCCTGATCGTTGGCAAAAGTGTATGCCTTGATCGGGTCCTCGCCTAGCGTTGAGAAGTGTTTGGACATAAAACGATGGTATTTCGTCACAGGGGAAGGATAGCGTTTCCTCACAAGCGGCGCGTCTTGTTGATACCGATCCATAATCGTCTGAATGGAATTCTTGGCGGCTTGTATCGCATCGCGGGTACCGTAAATGAGAATTTTCCCATCGTTCTCGGGATCGTTGAGTTGAACGGAGAAGCGTGGAAATCTGACACTTGCTCCAGTGGTTCCTGCCACGTTTAGCAAGTCATCGCTGGCTTTTGCCAACAGCAGGCGAGGATAGAGCATCGTCTCCCAGTGCAGAGATGTCTCGCTAGATTGCTCATGCCCCTCCCTGGCAGGATGCGATTTCTCTCTCATCTCCGCGAGACCTGCAGTCCGCGCCATAATGCGCTCAATATCATCCTTGGCCCTCTGCCTATCCTCCGTTGTACCATAGATCTTGATTCTGCCTTGTTCTTTGGAATCATGATCACCAGGGGACTGTCTAATAAACTTGATTTTAACACCATTCTCACTTCCGACTCTCGCCAATCGATGTGAAGCTTTTGAAATCTCTTCACGGGTATAATAGAGAGTTTCCATTCCTGTCAATCCGTGCCAGGGCTTCTTTGGTTCGCAATATCTCACCACCGCCGACGGCTTCTCTCGCTCTTCCTGCAAAGCTTTTGAGGCCCACTCTGGCAACCCCTCCAGATCTTTCGCATCTTCGTCTCTCCTGGGATTCTTGACCACCGGGATATGTCCAGAAGACAAACATTTCCAAGGTCCAGTCTCAGCTATGCGAGAGACAAGCTCCTTGGCTGCTGCTTTTGCTTCATCGGTGCCAGCGATTGTATATGGCCATTGTTCAGCATCCTTGTTGAATTTGGCAAAACGCAGCCATGCGCCTGTGTGATTGGCGACGACTCGGATGATATTTGAAATACAATCCCGGAACTTGTAGGCGTCGTCTTTCTGGATATAACACGTTTCCGGTGCGAATTGCCTGTTATTCAAGTGCTCTTGGATGCTGCGTCTGGCTCGTCTGGTTTGCCATCGATGTAACTCATCGTCGCCACCACTGCGCGGAAATGTTTTTCGCACGGTAGTATTGCTCTTTTCGGCGGAAGTCGATGATGGCGCTATGCTATTACCATCCTGATTCGAGGATGTTGCTGACGACGGCTGATCATTGGAATCGGTATGCTCGCGTCGTTTCTGCGGTTGTGATTTCAGTCTGCAGCTGAGGCAGACATATGCGGCCTTGGTCGTCTGGCTGAGTGCGCCATGTCGAGATGCTAGCATAGTCGGCCGACGGCTGGAGAATGGCGATGGATTGGGATGTGAAACTGTGCCAAATGTTTCTGTGGAAATATCGAACGCGAGAAGCATGGGCCCCCTGGACCGCGCTTTGCGACTTTCGACCTCCGCTCACCTCCGTGGCTCCGCACTTTCACGTGTTATTCAACACCACCTGGCACCATGACACGAATCCGTTAGCACGATCAAGATGTGGTGGAAGAAGGAGGCCCCCGCTACAGAGGCTAGCGAGGCTATATCAACTCCCGATGTACCCATTTCCACGCCCATAGCGGAAACCACACCAAATGAAGCTCAGAAAGAGCTCCCACCTGTACGAAACATCAACGACCGCCTCTCCCTCCCATTACGCCTGCGCCTTCCCCTCGCAACGACAATATCAGGGTTCTCAGGCCTTGTACTCGGTCTTGCGAAAGGTTCAATAGACACAGGTTTCCGCTTTCGTGCCGAAAATGCCCATCGATTACCCAAAACTCAGGTAGGATGGTTCCTCTACCATAAATCCAAGAACTACAATATGATGCTTGGAGGCGTCAAAGAAGGCTTCAGACAGGCTTTCAGATTTGGGGCTTGGACGGGTTTGTACTTCGTTCTCGAGGAAGGTGTAGATCGCGGACGAGCTGCCGGTGCGAGGGTGTGGAGGAAGTTTTGGAGTGGAGAATGGGCGAAGGGCGGCAGGGAGATGAGGATGGCTGCGATTGAGGACTTGGCGGAAGTGGAGGATGCGGTGCAGGAGGAGGCTGTGCAGGGAAATCGGGATTGCCTGAGCTCGATGCTTGCAGGCTTGGGCACTGCGGGAATGTTTTCGGCCCGGAATCGATTTCCACTACCTACTGCTGCGAGGACTGCAAAGATGGGTGCAAAAGCTGGGCTGGCATTCGGATTGCTGCAAGACGCAATCAGTGTGATGAAGGGAAGAAGAGTTGGATACGTGGACTTCGTGAAAAGGCATACCATTGGCACAATTGAGCGGGAAGGAGATATGTCAGTCTGAGCTTACTCAGAAGTAGAGCTCGCTCTACAAGGCATTGATACTGTGCCATCCTGTCGCACACAATGAAAGGCGGAGAGGTCTTGCGTCTCGCACCAGAACATGCGAGACCTTGCCGAAGCGAGACAACTTCGCGGCTTTTGCAAAATGGAGTTGACTTGCTGGCAAGCCAGATACCATGAACTGCGATTCGCGTGGGTTGATACTTGCTGCATTGACGAATCGAGCAGCGCAGAACTCTCCGAGGCCATCAACTCTATATGTATCGCTGGTATCAGCGCGCGAGAGGCAAACAAACCCAGCGGCATTAGCCACCTTCGCAAGTAGCCGGCGATTCACCCGTGGCTGGACTCTGCAGGAGCTTCTGGCGCCCAGGCAACTGCGATTCTTCGATGCACACTGGACATACTTTGGCGACCAAAAGAGCCTGTCAAGGGCAGCAGGCCGAAAAACTACACCACTTGCAGACATCGTGCACTGTCTGCTTGGAATCTTTGATTTCTCCATGCCTCTATCGTACAGGGAAAGACACCGCGCGTTCCACAGACTACAGGAAGAGATCTTGCTCTCCATATTGCTTTGGCACATGCCTTCAAGCGATTCTTCTCATGATGAGAAACTACTTGCGCAATTTCCTGCGGACTTTGCTCAAAGTGATTCACTTACACGGTCGAAGGAGTGCTCGTCAGAAAAATTGGCCTGCTACGAGAAGGACTTAGGGTGAGATTGATGATTGTACCCGTTACGCATTTCAGTGGGTGGGTATATGTATCTCATCGATGGACCACTAGGTACCTATGCGTCTCCGCTCATAACCGTAACGTCGCGATGTTGAAGCGAAGCTCTTTAGCCACAGCGTCAACCCTTTCCTTCTCAAGAAGCACACCATAACTTTGATGAGCCAGGTAACTTTTGGATCTCGTTGCAAGATTAAAACCACAAATAGCAGATCATACGACTCACTTTCGTTTCAACTCACACCTCACATCATCAAAAGTGAACCCACGCCTATAAAAATGAAACTTCCATAAATCGTCCATTCCCGATCTATGCACGCCACATAACCTACAACCCGATTCGCCACCCACCTAATCAACATCATCATCATCACCTTCACTCTCCTCCTCACTGTCATCCTCATTCTCATCCTCACTGACCTCCCCACCCAACACCTTGATCTTCGCCTTATACTCATCCCTCTTAGCCTCAATATCACCCATAACAAGTAACATACTTTCCAACTCCTCTTTGGCCTGTTTCTCGTTTTCCTTAGCTTCGGCCACAGCCTTCTCAAGTTTCGCGAGTTGAGCCTTGTCTTGCTCACTGGGACCTGCCTTCTTCGTGGCCTCGTCAAGCTTCCTCTCCGATTCGGAAGCTGCCTTCTTCGCGTCATCGGTAGCTTTCTTAGCGAGATCTTTAGCAACTTGCGCTTGCTTTTGAGCTTGTTCGAGAGATTTCTTGGATGCCTCGAGTTCGGATTGTAGGGATTCTGCCGCTTCTTTTGCAGACTTGAGTTCGGTCTTGGTCTTTTGATGTTGATCCTCGGCAGACTTCTTAGCCGCAGAAAGTTCTGCTTTGGTCTTTTCGAGCTCTTCTTCGGCAGAAGACTTGGCTTCTTCAAGTTCTTGCTTGGTCTTCTTGAGGTTCTCCTCGGCAGACTCGGTCGAATCTTCCAGCTCCTTCTTGACTTTGTCGAAGTCTTCTTCGAGTTGACTGAGTTGCTCTTTCGCCGCTTTCTCGCTTTCCTGGGCTTTGGTGAGCTCTTCGTCCTTGGTTGCAAGGTCGCTTTCAAGTTGTGCAAGCTTGACGGCATCGTCTTTGCCTGCATCACCTTTTGCAGCAAGAGCCTTCTTCGCTACCGCGACTTGCTTCTTTGCATCCGCGAGATCTTTCTCCAACTTGTCGACCTTGGCGATCTTGTCCTTGTCTTCCTTGCTGAGTGTTGGCTTGGCCTTTAGTGCTTTCGCGCTTTCGGCAGCCTTCTTTTCTGCAGTACTGGCCTTCTCCTCGGCATCCTTGAGCTTCTTTTGCAAATCTTTGGCCTTGCTTTCGGCAGTGTTGAGCTTCTTCTCGGCTTCTGATGCCCTTTTCTCTAGATCAGCAATTTTGCTCTCAGCTTCCTTGACTTTGGCATCAGCATTGGTGGCTTTCTTGTGGGCCTCCTTAAATGCCGACTCTGCATCAGTCGCTCTCTTCTGCACTGCAGCAATCTTGGTCTCGTTTTCAGATGCCCTCCTCTCGGCATCCTCGAGATCAGACTTCGCTTCCGTGAGCTGTGCGTCGAGCGCCTTGACTTGGGCTTCTGCATCTTCTGCCTTCTTCTGGGCCTCTTCAAGCTGTTGCTTCTCTCCTATAGCAGCATCGAGTGCGGCAGCTTTTGCTGTTTCAAGCTCCTTCTCCAATTCAGCATACCCAGCGCGCTCGGTCTTGAGTTCCTCATCTCGAGCTTTAAGATCTGCTCGTAGTTCTGCGACTTGCGATTTGAGCTTCTCCAACTCTTCACCACGAGTGTCGAGTGACTTCCTCGCAATATCGAGCTTCGATTCAGCCGCCTTGACCTGATCTTGCGCCGCTTGTAGCTTCCTATCGGCTGCGCCACGTTGCTGATGCAAATGCTCCAGTTCTTTCGACAGATCTCGCTCTCGTCGAAGTAGCTCGTTGTGCTTGCCAGATAGAGTCTCAAGTTGCTGCTTGACAGTCGCATGGCCGCTTGCTTCTTTCCGGTGCTCGTTTCCCAGCTCTGCTATCCGTCGCTCAAGCTCCTGCACCTTCTGCGCAGCAGCAGCCTCGCGTTCTCGCAATCTCGCTTGCGCTTCGCGTTCCGCTTCTTGCTTCACGCTGTTCAAAGCATGCTGGTGTCTCGTCTGTGAAGTGTTCCGATCCTGCTCATGTTTTTTGGTCAGCTTCTCTAACTCGCTGTCATGTCCCTGTTGCATGGCTTGGTTGATCTTTCGCAAGCGCTCGACCTCCGACTGGGCCGTTTGCAATTCCTTCGATATTGACATCCGGTCTTGCTCTGCTTTCTGTGTGGCTTCGACAGCTTCTTGCTGTGCTGTGGCTAGAGCATCCTTGGCTGTTTGAGCTTGTTGCCGTAACTCATCAAGTATGTCACGATCGACACCAGCCTCTACCACTCCGCCGGGTATCACTTCAACACCAGGATCTTTGTCGATGGCTCGTCTTAAGCGGGTGTATTCCACTGTGAAGAGATCGACAAACACATTACTGAGCATGCCATCGCCAGCTTCATCTGATTCAGCGTCAAGGTCGAAGTCGCGAATTGCTGGCTCTCGTCGCAACTGCAAAAGTGCGTCCAGGTACTTAGCCCGTCCAAGCTTCTGCTGAAGGAGTGGTGCTAGCGTTCGGCGTGGTATTGGAGAGTCTTTGGTGCTGAATTCGTAAATTACGCCGAGGAGTACGGCGGACAGGCCAGCCACGATCGGGTCTGTTGGTGTCTTGACTGTAGCCACGAGTGCCTGGACCAAGCTGGATCCCTCCTCGAGCAAGTCGTCCACCCCAGGCGCGAAGTCCCAGAGTAGAGTAGCGAGTTGGCTTGAATATGCAGCGGCTTGTCTGACATGGACAGGTGCTTGAAGGGCGGCCTGAAGCTGAGAGCCGAAACCGCGGACTGCTGTAATGACATCCTCACCTTCCTCCTCGTCTCCCTCCTTGACAGCCAATAAAGCGGCCTTCGCTTCTGGCTGGTCGACTATCAGGCCCTGCACAATCCAAGAAGCGTGCACCACGCCAGTATCGTCATTTTCAGCTGGGTGGAGGAGTGTCACGATGACATTGGCAGCTGTTTCGCCTTCCGCATGCCCACCAATCGCGCGTTGAAGAAAGTGAGCTTTTATTCTGTCGTGATTGGTGAGATAGGCTTGGATGAGCGCACAAGCAGCACCACGCAGTGTCTCTTCTGCTGTTGCTTGGTCCAGGGCGAGATGTAGAAGTGCTTCGATGACATATGTTCGGCGGTTCTCCACACTGGGCCGGGCACTCGTTTTGGCACGTCCATTTGGCGCAGTTCCGTTGGTTTGAGCATGCTTCTGTGCCTCTGCTGCGTTATGTTCGGCATCTGCAGGTGTTATAACTGTTGAAGAGGCAAATTGTTCTTGGAGAGGCGGATTCGACTCGATCAAAGCAGCAGCAGCGCGTAATGCGGTCGCGCGGATTGTGGTGGGTAGCGCTGGCGAGAAGGCAAGGTCGATCAGAATCTGGCCGGTGCCAGCTCTGAAGAAGGCGACTTGATTCTGCGGTGTGCTTGACTCTCCTGATGCGAGGAACAAGCGCAGCAGCTGTAATAAACCCCAAGCTGCCCTCTCGCGTGCCTGCGTGTCGGTTGGTAGTTCGTCGTCGCGTGGAAAAGACTGCTGCAGAAGCTGCATCAACTGCGCAACACAGCCAGATTCTCGGAACATGGTCTGGTTGCTGGCAGAACCTTTGATCAGATTCGCGAGCAGAGTCAGACAGTCCTGCGCTGTAATGCCTGCTTCGGACAAGCCACCTTCGAGCTGTATCAGGCTGAACGTCTTCCCAAAGACATCCTCGAACGCAACGATTTTCCTAAGCTCTTCATTTGCACCGCTTGTGAGATCGACTAGAAGTAGGAGACCTGCGTTCCGTACAGCGTCTCGCGAATCGTCCAAGACGCCGACCAGTCGCGACAACCCCAGAGGGGCTGACAGGATGCATTCTTGCAATCGGTCGGGTCGAGCAGCGCATATGGAGGACAGTATCTGCACGGAGTACAACCGCGAGTAGTAGTCGGCGTATGCAGATGTGGGATCGAGGAGGTTTAGGAGCAAGGTAATGTTGTCTTGGCGCTGCCATTAGCTTAGCTATTCTGTCTACAAACCCCATATCACGATGCGCGTAGCCTACCATTGAGAACTCATCGGCCAGGAAGAGGGCAATCTCATCTCCAGCCTCAGGAGAGTTGCTGTCGGGATTGAACAGCATAAGCAGTGTCTCCAACACCAGCCTGATTGTGTCCACATCACCACCCTCTGTCCCTTGCCGGCCATCGTCCTGGCCTTGACTTGAGCTGGCATCTCCCAGGCCATCTTTCTTTAATGTTGATATGAGCTCTCGGAGTGAGCCGCTGGCTACTGAGGCCGGGTATTGTTTTGCGAAGCTTCTGAGGCCCTGGATGGCAGCGCGACGGTCTTCCAGCAATGTGGCAGACTGCAAGCGGCCACTCAGTGTGTCAATGGTCGCCGTCGCCGTCTGCTGCGGAGGTGCTTTGAGCATCGTGTCGGTCTGCTGCCCTGCGGCAGACTGCTGGCTATCTCATAGTTGTGGCTGAATAGTTTATGCCGAGACTTCGATGGTAGTCATCACACTTTACACTAGTCCTATTGTTCCAGAAGTGCAGCGTGTTCGTGTTCGTTCCGTGATTCTGGTATGGATCTTAATTCGTGTTTCCATTGAGCAATTGTTGTCCTTGCCAGCTTTCAGATCGCCGTTGTAGCGTGCAGGGGTCGAGTCGCGTTCGAGCTTGGCAGGCTTGGCAGGGTCTTCGTGTGAGAGCGGACTTTCGTGCTTCGCGACTGCGACTCCTTCCCTTCTCTTTGATATCGACACCGCGCCGGCAGCATCGCCAACTCTTCTGCCTGGCCTCGAACCCGACTCTCCGACCTGATATCGCCTACAAATCCCACGCCGCTCGCATTGCCAAGCGCGCGCGCACGCGACGCCATTTCCGCCCGAGTTGCCTCGCATCACCCATTAATTTCACACCTGTATCTGCGCCTACACCTACACACATTGTAATCTGGTCCCAAAAGTCATTCACTCATCATGGGCGTTCCAGCGCTGTTCCGCTGGCTCAGCAAGAAGTACCCCAAAATCATCTCGCCTGTGGTTGAAGAGCAGCCGGGTGAGATCGCGAATGAGGATGGCTCAGTCACGAAAATCCCCATCGATGCGCGCGGACCCAACCCAAATGGTGAAGAAATGGACAATCTATACCTAGACATGAATGGTATTGTGCATCCATGTTCCCATCCAGAAGACCGCCCGCCTCCCGCGAACGAGGAGGAGATGATGGTGGCAATTTTCGAGTACACTGAGCGCGTGGTCAACATGGTGCGCCCTCGTAAGCTTCTCATGATCGCTGTGGATGGTGTCGCCCCGCGTGCCAAGATGAACCAGCAGCGAAGTAGACGTTTCCGAAGTGCACAGGAAGCTGCCGAAAAGGACGCCATGGCAGCTGAATTTCACGCTCGCATGGTCGCAGCAGGCGAGGCTGGCGGTGACGACGAGAAAAATTCCAAACCCAAGAAGACTTGGGATTCCAACTCCATCACTCCTGGTACTCCTTTCATGGACTTGCTTGCTGCCAGTCTGCGATACTGGATTAGCTACAAGCTCACCACTGATCCTGCGTGGGAGAAGCTCAAAGTCATCATTTCTGACGCTACTGTGCCTGGTGAAGGTGAGCATAAGATCATGAACTTCGTGCGCTCCCAGCGCAGCTCCCCAGACCACGATCCCAACACAAGGTAAGCTCATCTCTGCTTTCTGCTTTTCCTCTACATTCCACCAAGTCCAGAAGAACATGCGAGATCATCTACACGAACTTTTGCTAACACGTATAGACATGTCATCTACGGACTTGACGCGGATCTGATCATGTTGGGACTCGCCACCCACGAACCGCACTTCCGCGTTCTGCGTGAAGACGTCTTCGCAAACGATACCAAGCCCGGTCATTGCAGGAAGTGCAATCAGCCAGGCCATATCGCTGCCAATTGCACCGGCAAGCCGAAGGAGGAAGAGGACGTGGTCAAGCCACTCAAGCCATTCATCTGGCTGCATGTCGGCATTCTGCGAGAATACCTGGCAGTCGAGATGTGTGTGCCCAACCAAGGTTTCCGATTTGATCTCGAGCGTGCGCTAGATGATTGGGTCTTCATGTGTTTCTTCGTCGGTAACGATTTCTTGCCACACTTGCCTTCTCTGGACATTCGGGAGGATGGTATTGACACACTCATCGCCATCTGGCGAGATAACCTACCTCTCATGGGAGGGTATGTGACCAAAGATGGTCACGTCGATCTTGCCCGAGCGCAGATGATCCTGGAGGGCCTGGCCAAGCAGGAAGACGCCATCTTTAAGAGACGTCGCGAAACTGAGGTCAAGGCTGCGGAGAGACAAAAGCAGCGCGAAGATAGAGAACGCCGTCAGTCTAACAAGCGAGCACGGTACTCGAATGGCGCACCCACTGGTTTTGATGAGACTGTCATTCGCCGTGGAGCACGAGGCGGCATCGTAAAAGGTGAAGCTGCAGCCGATCCGAATGCGCTGCCAACCTTCGCGCCCGGCGCAGCACAAACCATGAGTGATCCTCGCTACCGATCGAGCTTGACTCACGCAGATGTGGTCGGCTCGGCGAATCAGGACAACAAGTCAGCTGCAGCTGCATTGAAAGAGCGGATGATGAACAGCAAGAAGGGAGCAGACAGCCAGCGAGCAGAGATTGATGCTCTGATGGCGGGAGCTGCGAATGGTAACGATCCTCCACAGGCCCTTGGCAAGCGAACACGCGATATGATCGATGATGCAGCCGCGGATGAGGTCAGCTCAGACCCTTCTACACCTGGACGGAACACACCGAACAAGGAGATTGCAGATCCAATGAACCGTGGCACCTCGGGTCACTTGGGAGGCAACTCCGACGACAATGGTGGTATGCCAGAAGATACCGTCAAGCTATGGGAGGATGGCTACCAGGGTCGCTACTACGAGCAAAAGTTTCACGTCTCACCCGAGGACGTTGAATTCCGCCACAAGGTTGCGCGAAGCTATGTGGAGGGTCTCTGCTGGGTGCTCCTCTACTACTTCCAAGGCTGTCCATCATGGACCTGGTACTACCCGTACCATTATGCGCCCTTCGCTGCAGACTTCAAGGACATGGACAAGCAGGTCGTCAACTTCGAAAAGGGCAAGCCATTCCACCCTTACGAACAGCTGATGGGTGTCATGCCGCCGGCATCGAATCACACACTCCCAGCAGTCTTCCATCCTCTTATGACGGATGATGATAGTCCTATCAAGGAATTTTACCCGATCGAGTTCGAAGTCGATCTCAATGGTAAGAAATTCGCTTGGCAGGGTGTTGCACTTCTGCCATTCATCGACGAGAAGAAATTGCTCGATGCCATGGCCACCAAGTATCCTCTTCTCACTGAAGACGAACAGCGACGGAATGGGTTTGGTGAGGAATGCCTGATATTTAGCACCAAGCATCCTCTCTATAACGATGTCGTCACCAATTTCTACGGCAAAAAGGCCGGTGCGCCAAAATTCAAGATGAACACCAAGACATCGCAAGGTCTTGCCGGCAAGATCACCAAAGACGCATCCTACGTTCCCAACTCCGAACTCACATTCCCACTGGAAAGCACGCAGGAGGAATACACCAGCCTCGACTCCGACGAGAGTATCAAGGTTTCCTACCACATGCCTGTTCTCGGCAGCATCCACAAATCCATGCTCTTGCCTGGCGTCAAATTCAACGAGCCAGTGCTCGATTACAACGACATCGAAATGACGCGCAGCCGAGCAGAGAGAAGCGGTCGAAGTCACGGCGGCGTTCAGCTCTCAGTGGGCGGCGACAGATCGGATGGTCGACGCATCAACTACGCGGCACGCGACAACGGACACCATGACAACCGCAATGGTGGGTTTGGAAATGGCTATGGCGCGAACGGAGGATACGGCCAAGACCACAGTCGCGGCCCACCACCACCACGCCAAGATCCTTACTCGAACCGAGCAGCCGATGCTTTCGCAAATCTGCCGCCTCACCTCGCTGCTCAAGCTGCCCAGCATGGCTTCCAGTCTGCTAGAGCTCATCCTCCACCACCACCTCCTCAGTATGGATACCCGCCTCGAGGTCCTCCACCGCCCCAGAATGGATATGGTGGGTATGGAGGGTATGATAATCGTGGTGGCTACGAGAACCGAGGCGGCTATGGCGGCCGAGGTGGCTATGGTGGTTCGCGAGGTGGATACCAGGACAGAGGCGGCTACGGGGGAGGAGGAGGTAATTACCGTGGTAACAATAGACGGTACTAAGCATAAGAGGCATGTATGAGTAGGATTGACTGAGATGGAAAGAGAAGGCATGTGACATCATGGCGTGAACGTGAAAGGGATGATTGCGCCTGTAATTACGCACTGAGAAATTTTCAGATCAAGTGAATCTGGGAAGGTCATGATGAGAGCTTCCCTCTCAACTGAACTGAATTGAATCCCGAAGGACGAAGAACTATGTATCTGACTTTCATTTCACTCATTGGCAAGCTTTGTGTCTCTTAAGTGCTTACTGACATTGTGAGGACAAGATCAACGGGAAATGCGATGCATATCACGGAGCACGTCGGTGCACTCGTGATGGTGTTCTTGGCTGGTATAGATCCAGTGTATTCATGTTCCTATACTCGCGCGGATAAAAGACTCGAGGTTCGGGGAAGGTTTTTATGAGTTTCACACGCCACCCTTCCTCCATGTAAAAGCCACAAATCTGTCTTGATTACTATACGCATCGGTATCATCATGCTCGATGCCCCAGAGCGTGATCATTAATGGAACCATTCATAGCGGATGCGTGATTCGATGCCGGTGGCAAAGGCAAAGAAACAACTCTAGACTTCAAGATGATGGGCGTGCATTCTGGGAGGAGTGATTAAGAGATGAACTACAGTACAGAGAGCAGAGCTTCCACGTTCAAGCCTTCTCGCAACACCACTCCCATCCCTAGCACAACCGCTTAACACAATCCACACTCCTCGCCCTCCCCCCACGCTCCAGCAACAACCTCTGCATCCGACTCTGCTGCCGATTATACCTCTCACTCGAAACCCCAAATTCCCCAGCCTGCACCTCATCCTTATCAACATTCCCCCAAGACACCGTATATTTCGTCTGAATCGGCTCCAACAAACTTTTCTCCCGCTGTCCAAGGACTTCCGCCAACGTGCACAAAAGCGCCATAAAAGCCTTCAGAACATTGGTTTGAGGAGTGCATTCTGCGAGTACAGAGGTCAAACTTTTGGACGTGAAGATGAGTTTTGCTTGGATTTTTCCGGATGTGGGGGTGTTTGTTATGATAATGTCGAAGATGGTTTCTGGGTCGGAGCGGGTGTTTTGGCTGGAATGGCAGAGGTGGGGGAAGAGGAAAGTTGCGTTGACTGTGGGTTCTTGTTAGTGGTTTTGTGGGAGGAGGGGCATGAATGGCATTGCTATACTTTTGATCTGCTTCACCAGCTCAGTCTCGGTCAGTCCGTGGAATGCCGTTGCCTCGACTTTTTGTGGCTCCATTGCTTAACCGTTTGGGCCCTGACGGCTTGACCTTTTCTCAAGCATCGAATGGTCATTTTGGATAATATGTGGCAGTGACTGTTTCACTAGGCAGGCATGATGTGCAGGCAATCAATTGATGAAAGGAAAGTCAAGCAACAACAGCGTGCGAGGAAACAACGAGGCTCTGGTTGATCGCAATTGCAACCAATGCTTATTCCATGCTCTTGCCTCAAGCAGTTGTCCCTTCTTCCTAACTTATCCTGATGTTTTGGAAGACGTCGAGGTCTGAGTCCTCATGGAGAGAGCTTATGTTGACGTCGAAAGATGCAGATGTGCAAAACATGCTATCTCGCAACACGACAACGCCGAAATGGGGACGACCAAGATCAGCATGCAGTGTGGTGAATGATCGGAATCTGCTTTACTCTGGATGTTACCTTGCACGTCGCCCGGATGAGACCAAGCAAAGATGCCGTGTACACCAGCCGGTCGGCAACCTATTCACCAAGCTGCTCAGTCAGCATTCGATGGGTGCTCTATTACCACTCAGAGCACAGCAACAGATGCGGTATAACCTCCGTCTGCTAGGCGAGAGGTCGCTTGTCTTCCAACGCCTGGCGCGATTGAGCTGCAACACCAACCACACCGCCGTGGCTTGGCGGATAGATATCTCTCGGTTAAGAGACGGAGGATAAGGCTGCGGCTCGCGCAGATCACAAGGAAGAGTCAGTGCCTCCATCTGGACCTGTCAAAAGTCTAGCTGGAACGGACGGCTTGTAATCAACACGGTATCACGGTCTTTGCGAAACAATTTTTTTCGTCAGGACGGGATTGACCTGAGCCGTGAATCTGGAGTCATCTATACGATCGAGAAACCAGACGCGAGCCTAGAGCAGCATGGCGAGGAGACCATGCACTCAAGGAAATCTAGACACAATTCCTTCGCTGCATAGCTCTCGTGTCGACGTCTTGTGTGAGGCTTCCATGCCGGAGATCCCGTAATATAAGCCAAATGTTCCTCATACCCGGGCCGATCGGTGCACCCGCGGCACCTTGGATAACCTGTCGGGTTTGTGGTTGTCTGATCGACTCTGGTTCCTCTTTAAAGTCGTGGTTCGTATGTGCTTGTCCTCGCAGCTCAGGATGTCAGAATCTTGATACCACCAGGTCGGACAGATGTGCTTCTGATTTGGTCAAGGAATGCTCAACATCTGACCCATTGTGGTCGTCACCGCTGCGGCTCATCACATTGCATCGTTCTGTGTTGTCGAGTCGCTATTGAAAAATACTGGGAGCGAGATGAGATGGAGGTCGAAGAGGACAGTCACAAAGTTTCGGCAAAAGAGCCAGTTCAGCAATGCGACGCGAGTCATGGGCAATTACCAGCCTTTCGTCTACGTGCATAACAACATCGGCTTTGCGTACCGAATCAATGACCTCTTCTCACAAATCTTCGTCAGTCGTATGATACGGTACTTGCTTGCTCCCGAACACGAGCACGAAGATATCGATAAAGCGTATGCGGAGGAATCAAACGTCTAGTGATAGGTAATGCATGGTTGAACTCACGTGCTTGCTTTGCCGTTCACAACTTCACTTCCGGCGCCGACTCGGGAGTAGGCCACTTCCATCCCCTCGGGCTTGCAGCAAGCTTGTCTTACTACATGCCTAGCTAAATTATTCCAAACTCCATCCATCGTGCCACGGCTTACCTGTTCAGCGGTGTTGCCGGTGCCTCTGGATGTGCCGGCAACGCTTGAAAATCAGGGCTGAAAAGACGCTGTAGTGTTGGAAAAGGGCATTTGCGTAGGCAAAGGTTCGATCAGTGTCTCGACTCCGCAAGACTAGCCTTCTTATAACTTTTCCCGGAAGCCCTTTAGCGACATTTCAGGAAATGATCTGATCAGGGAAACGACCCCGGCAAGTGTCATGCATGACATTTCTTATACACCATCTCCCTCACTTCCTCTCGAAAAGTATCTCTCTCCTAGCGTGCTAAGCTCCAGGATTTCTTGTCCCGCCCCATGAGTCCATTGATATCCTGATCCCGAGCTAGAAAATCTCTAGGGCGAACCTTGCAGAGATGTTCTGCAGAAAGATATAAGATAGTGGCTATGCCCCCGCTACACTGAAAGCGATCCAACCTTTTACTACTCTCGTACATTTACAAAGGAGTGTCAGCACTACAGTCCTCCTCCTCCTCCTCCTCGAAGCACTATGTCCTCAACCAATCAACCACGACAAGTCTCCGAGGAGGAATTCTTCCGGCAATTAGGCCTGGACTCGGACAACGAAGCTCATATGCGGATTTACGCAGCAGCCAAGGTAAGTGTCTTGAAGACGAGGAGTGATGATTAATGCTGACAGCTTCCAAGGCAGAGGTGGCTGAAGGTTATCGGCGACTGGGCGGCAACGGTACTGCAGTGCAAGAGAACGCCTTTCGTCAAGAAGTCCGCACCATCTACGAATCTGCCAGCCCTGCGACGAAGATGGTGTATGATCGAGGTCTGACATCCAATGTAGAAGACAACTGGGTGATTCGATGGCTGCTGTGGCAAGCTATCAGCCTGCCGAATGGATCATAAACGAAAAGGGCGCGAGGAGCGATCATCAAGACCACCTGATCTTGACATATGTGCGATAGATACCCTTTCCTAGACGCTCCGCTCACGTCTGGCCCTGGCGCTGATTCCGATACCATTCATTCCCCGGTCCATTCGTCCTCGTGCTTCCAAGTCGTTCCTTCCAGAAATTTATCGAGGTATCGCCTGGAAGCCTTGGATGCCGATCCTCGTCCGGACACACACCATCTGCTTCATCGACATCTGTTGCAACCGGTTCGTGCGCGGCTCTGCAGAACGACGGCGGATCCCTATCCAGTGCCTCGGGACACATCTCGTGTCTGACACAGTAGTGACCGCATCGAAGCCATGTTGTCATGTTTACGAAGCACATGGGAGGAGGCGGGTTTGTGGTAGGAATCGAGTGCTGGTATCTGAGTCGAAATCGTCTGGGAGGGCTCGTAGCTTTGACATGCGGTGCCTCACCCATTATATATCTGTATGCAGTGTAAGTGTATTTTCGAATTGGTGAAAGGATGGAGCGCGTCGCAGTGTCCGACGATGTTATGCTGCCGATCTTCGTGGGCTCCTGCAGGAGTTCTGTATCCAGGCGTCATCCCATGCACGAATTATTGGCTGGAACATATTGCCCGCCATTCCCCGGGCGATTCAAGCTCATTGAGCTGAAGAAATCTTCCATCCGGATTGCATCCAGAGTTAGGTTTAAGATAAGCTCACATGAAATCGATGATCAAGATCTTCTACGAACCTTGGAGGTCAGTCCTGAGTCCTCACATCTCCTAGCACATTTACTGCGGACGCATTTAAGATAGGCAAGCCATTCGAAGGCATTATACTATTATTAAATCCTATTAATGCTTGAAAGCGTAGCGTAACGTCTTTTGTAACGCTAAGTAAACAAGCAATTATAGGTAAGACAGCTAGAACGTTCTAATCTAATAAGATAGCGGATCTAGATCTATACGATAGACGATATTCGCCGAGTAAGTAAACTACTAAAAATTCTATACTATATAGAAAGAATTTATAGCGCTTACTATACCGTTAAGCCTAACGAGAAATACTCGATCGCTAGTAGATAGTTAAATAGACGTATTAGGTCTTCGCCTTAGGCAATCTAGCTTTATAGCTTATCTTACGCTAGTACTAAGTAAGTAGGCCGCGATATAATACTATTATAAATACTACCTATATAGGTAATATACGTATATATAAACCCTAGCTATCGATAGAGTAAATAATAGTATATATTACTAAAACGTTTAGCTACTAAGTCTTAAGGTCTTCGAGAACCTAGACAAGTCTTACCTAACTAGTAGTAGTACTACCTCGTTCTTAGGGTATAGAAGGGAGCTATATATATATACCCTAACTATCGATAGAGTAAATAATAGTATAGGCTTAGCTACTAGGGTTTAAGCTTTTTAGGGACTTAGATAGGTCTTACTTAAATCTTAACTTAGCTAATAGTAATACTTACTCCTTCTTAAAGCGAAATAGGGTATTTATAAGATTCGCTTTCGCTCTAAATTAATTTTTTTTAGGTTCGCCTTACCTAGCTTATTTTAAATCTATCTAAGCGGTCTATATCTTAGGAGACGAAGACGACCTAAACAAATATACCTATAAGATTAATAATTTACTTATAATCGACAAGAGGGCGAATATCTATATAGCTAGTTTCCTAGCCTTAAAAATTCGAATAATATTAGGTATAGAAGGTTTATACCTAACCCCTTTAAGAGCTATATATATTAGAAATTATCGTTATAGTATAATTAATATCGCCGTAGATAACTATATAATCTATAGTATTAATCTAAATCTTAAGACCCTCTAGGTTAGTCTAGTTTCTACCTTAATACCTTTCGAGCTTCCTAATCTTAAAAAGGATTACTACCGCGATAATATATTAGAGGGCATTTGTCTATAATAACTCGAAGCCTTAGTTCTAACTAGACGAGCCTAATTTGTACCTCGATACTTTCTAAGATCTTTAGTATTAGAAGTAGTTATTTCTATAGTAACTAATCGGAGGGTATTTATCTATAGTAACTCGATATATTAGACCTAACTAGGCGTATCGAAGTAAAACGTTAAGGCCTTTAATAGTACTAAAAATTAGAAATAGTCGTACTATAGTAACCGATAGACGTATATTCGCCTATAATAGCTCGAAGCCTTCGACTAAATTATATATACCGGGTTTATACCCTAAGACCTCTAAAGAAACTATAGTATCGGAGATTATCGTCTTAAGATAATTAATTAGAGAGCTTTCGCCTATAAGAACTCGAAGCCTTAGACTTGATCATGCATGCCGGGTTTGTGCGGCGAGACCTCCGAAGAATCCGAGTAGCAGAGATAATGATCGTCTCGCGGTGATCTCACAGGGGTTTTCACCTGCAATTTCTCGGCGCCTTGGACTCAATTGTGTAGTCCGGATTGATACGTCAAGACCTCCGAAGAATCCGAGTGGCAGAGATAATCGTTTCGCGGTGATCTCGCAGGGTTGGTGTCAGGCGCAACAACTCGAAGCCTTGGACTACTCAATTGTGTATGCCGGGTTTGTATGTCAATACCTTCTAACCTCATCAATTCCAGAAATAGTCGCTAGAGTAGTCGGTCGGAAAGCATTCACCGTGCTGCAACCTAGATACATCAGACCCTTCCAGACTGTCCAGATTCATACCTAAATACCTTCCCAGCTCCTCAATCCTCGAAATCCTCGCCGTCGGAGCGCGAATACCTGTAAAGTTAGCTTGTAACAACTCGAAAATTTCGAGCCACTTATGGAATACCCTGAGTTTTATCCCCAGGGCGTAGCGTAAAGATGCTGGGAGAGATAGAGAGATACAATAATGTGTGCGGAGAGGGGCAAGGTTCTTCTTCTTCTTCTTCTTCTGCTGCTGCTATCTACGGAGCGCGCAGCTCCGCGCTTGCGGCTGTCCTTGGTTGCCTGGGAAACGAAGTCAGAATCTCAGAAGTACAGCAGCATCGGAAGCGTTTGAGGTGACTTACAGCTAGTACCCCTTTGCAAGCTTGATGCCCCTCACCATAGCCATGAGGCCAGCGAGGCTCACCTCACCGGCGCTCTCCGCGGCCGGGGCCTCCTCGATCTGCGCAGAGGGAGGGGGAGGGCTTGGTGGTGGTGTTGGCGGCGGAGGGGGCATCTCCATCTCATCGCCCCAGATTCTATTTGAAGTGGCCTTTGCGGCCTCCACGTACCGCATTCCGTTGCGGCCGCTCTTCTTTGCTCCCAGAGCTTGATAGTATGATGCCGCTGCTGCGACCCTAGACTTCCTACCCCAATCGGAGTTGCAGACCGAAATTTCCTAAGTATTCGGCGTTTCTGCGATTGGGGTGGTGGTGGTGTCGTCTCCGGCGAATGGGTCCTCGTCAATGAATTGGCCCTTTTCTTCGTCCCAGCCCTCGATATCCCTCAGTAATCTCACGTATTGTTCTGGCACAAGGCCCTGTTCTCCCGTCTCTGGGTTCTCTGCCACCAACCATCCCTGTCCGTGCCGGTATGATACCATGATTATTTGTCCTTCTGTGAGGCGCAATTCGTTCTCGTTCTCCGGTTCGAAGCCATAAAGGGCTAGTGACTTGCCAGCAAACAGCTCTTCGTCCTCTGGACCCATGCTTTCTCGCTGCGGCGAATGGTGTAATGAAGGTTCGGCGTCTAGGGGTAGATCGCTGTCGGGGTCGATGGGTTGCTGGGAAGTGTGAAAGCTGCGATTCGGAAGTGTCGTCGCGAAGTGGGAGTCTCGTCGGTTCTCGCCATTCTCGGTTGTCGTAAATCCACGGCTCTGTCTCAAGGCATCGCGTCCTGCCGGGTCTGATTGCGATTGGGTTAGATATGCGAACTCTCCGTCGCCTCTGCTTGTTCGGCTGGACTCTCGTCGTCGACCGCGTTCGTAGTTGGGAATGTCGTAGAAGGATCTGCTCTTGCGGTGTTTGCTCTTCCGGAAGGATGTCTCATCGTCGGCCCAGTCGTGAAATTCACTGGCACTGCCGAAGGATGTGCTTGGCAACGGTTCCATGTCTGGGTCTGGGTCGCGGTAGAGCAATCCGTCGCCGCCCCACGGACCTGCTCGACCGCCCATGGCACTTGACTCTGCACTGTCTGACATTCTGCGTCCCGAATTCCAGTCTGATGGTGTGCTTGCGCCTGAAGGGTGCTCTGGTTTGCCTCCGAAGTGCATGGGGTGGTATGGTGGGTATGCGAAGTCGCGCACAAGAGCGTAGGACAGACTTGACTGGAACGGAGGGAGGACGGTTGACTGCGGTCTGGAGTGTGCTGATGCCAAGGAGTATTGCGACATTCTGTCTTGTGTCGATGTCTGAGTGTGGATGCGAGTGTGCGTGTGCGTGTGCGAGATCGGTAGGCGGTCCTGCTTTGATCGATGCGCCGGAGCGTCGGTATGCGAAGGGTCTGGTATGGAGGGCTCCTGCTGTGGAGAGAGGGTGAATGCTGGAACGGACGAAGGGGAGCTGGTGGTGTTGTGAGGGTGATGAGGTGCTGCCATGACCTCTGCGGCCATGCTTGCTTGCTACTCTTCGATGAATCAACGCCGGGCACGCTGCTGCGTCGTGTGGACGTCGACTCTGCCCTGCGAGCCTCGTGGCCGGCTGCGTCAATTGTTCTGTGCAGAGAAACGAACTCAGACCAGCTGAAATGAGCTCTGCCTGTGTGTGCCTCTGCCTGTGCCTCTCTAGCGTCTGCAGCGTGTGCACTCGCGGCGACGCTGATGGATTGGCAACCCGGTCCTGGTCCGACGCAGGACTAGGCGAGGGCTCGGTCGTGCTACTAGTGTCCCTACACTTAGTCGCTCTGTATGTGAGTTATGTGGTGGGCAAAGAAGGCGGTGCTATTAATAGCCGCGTGCTGGTCCTGGGACGAGGCGGGGCGAGGGTAAAGCTAAGGCTGCTTCTTTTCGGCTACGGTAGCAACAACACCTCGAGACTAAACCGAGCCCTAGCTACCCGCCCGAGCCCTAGCATAACCCGGTGCTAGTACTACTATAGAATCGCCTCTATATTAAATTACGTACTCTTTCTACCTAATAAAGGCTATTTCTATTCCTAGTTAGTATTATTAATAGGCGTAAAGCGTATTATTTAGGAAGTCGCGCCTCGAATTCTAGTATAGACTAAAGTTCGTATTTCTTCCCTGTTTTATAGTAGATTGCCTAGTAACTACTATAAATAGCTAAATCCCTATTATATAACGAGTTTCTTAATAAAGTTATCGCTAGTAATAGTAATAGCGTAGCAGTAGTAGTAGTTATTAAATTGTAGAAAGAGGTAGAAATAGCGGTAGAAATAGCGGTAGAAGGCGCGCTCTTAGCGGTAGTTATTAAGTCGTAGGAAGAGGTAGAAATAGTAGCAAAAGGCGCGCTCTTAGTAGTAGCTATTAAGTCGTAGAAAGAGGTAGAAATAGCGGCGGTAGTTATTAAGATATAGGAAAAGGTAGAAATAGCGGCAATAGTTATTAAGCTATAGAAAATAAATATTCGAAGTTATAGTCGCTTACTAAACGTACTTTAAGAACGTATATCGCTTCCTAACTATCGATTAGTAGACCCCGTAGTAGTTCGGGTTAGTTTAGTTTGGTTTGCTAAGCCGAAACTCTAGTTTGGTTTAGGTTGGTTTGCTAAGCAACTATATAAGTAGCTAGTTCGAACTATATAATTTATCGGTTTTTAAGAAGTGTACGAATATATACGTAGCTTTAAGCAAGCCCTTTGTAAGACTTAGTAGTGTAGCCGGCAGCGTAGCCGGCATTTTTAGTCCTTAGTACTTATAGAATTTTCGAATCCTACTTAGGCTACGTAGTTGTATAAAGGTACTTATATAACCTTAAATCTATAGATAATTAGCTAAGGGCACTAACTAATCAAAAGTATATATATATATATACAAGGCATTATAGTTTAGTTCGGAAACTGCACTCCTTAGGTATAAATTTCATCCTTTCGTTTACGGTTCAATTCCCTAACTACTTAGTAGAATGTCTTTATCTAGATCTAGGCAGAACTTATCGATTTCCCTAGAAGTCCTCCTCCTTAAGAAGTTTATATACTTTCCTACCGAACTATTCGATAATATTAAGTACTAGGATAGCTCCTCCCTCGGTATCGGTATAGTATATAAAAGAGCTATAAGGCAGCTCTATAGAACGTTCTACTAGTTACTCGCTATACTAAGGCCGAATGCTAGTTCGTTCCTTAGAACTCTTAGTTATTTAGGAGATATAAAGGGTAGGGTAGGTAGTAACTTCGTATTATATAAGGAGGTAGAGGCTACTATAGAAGAGGCCTTCAACCTATAGAAGATAGTAAAAGATATAGAGGCAGCTATAGGTCTAGGTACCTAGTTAAATTTCTAGTAGGTAGAGTATAAGAATATTTAGAGGGAGTATTAGGTAGAGTTGCGAAGGCAGGTATATAATATACTCTAGAAAACAGGGATAGTGCCTATAACTATAACTATTAGGCTCTTCAACCTTCCTTATTTTTCCCTATTTTCTTTTTATAAAAATCTAAACTAATACAAATCAACCGGAATGTCTATCTTCTTTTAGTTCTTTAAAAAACCTAGCAGCGTAGCTAGTAGAGTAGCCGGTAGCGTAGCCGGTAGCGTAGCCGGCCTTTTTACTCCTTAGTACTAACGGGATTTTAGGAGACTTCTATTCCGTACGGCTAATAAAGTATACTATACTATGTATATATACTTAGAGAGTATTTAGAGCGCGGTATATAGCGCCGTATAACAGCGGCTTATTTCGTATATAGAAAAGCTTATAAATAATACTACGAACATCCTTTCTACTAGAACATCTATCCTACCTAGTACCGTCTCGAATATAGACATTCTAGCCTTTTAGAATCTAATCGAGTGCTTTAAAATCCTTGTCTATAATCGTTATACGCTTCGCGTAGATAGCTATAAGGTTAACCGCTAAAATAGTATTAGTATAGTCCGAAAAGAGGTAGAAGAGAAACATATATTCGAAGATACGAACTAGGTAGGCTTCTATAGCCTCTTAAAGGGCGCCTATCGCGGAGGCTTAGAAGCGAAGGTCCGTTCTATAATCCTAAGCAATTTCGCGAACAAGTCGTTAGAAAGGAGCTTTACGGATTAGGAGCTTAGAACTCTTCTAATACTACCGAATCTAATAGAGGGCTACGGCTAAAGAAGGATTAGTAAAAAGACAGTAAGAATGCCGGCTATACTACCGGCTACGCTGCCGGCTACGCTGCCGGCTATAAATAGGACTTACTTCCTAGGCGCTATCGACGCTTCGTATAATTGCTACTAGTAGTAGAAGCGCTAGTTGTCGTCTTGCGTAGAGCCTTACCCGCCGTTATCTTACGCGGAGCCTTACTCGCGACGCCCTTTCTAGTACTAGAGCTAGCGGTAGTAGCAGTAGCCCTCTTACGTTAATATACTATACTCGTTCTACTATTTCCGGTCTTATTGCGACCCGTAGAAGCACTAGGTCCCTTCTTGCGAGGCGTCGTAACTTAGTTAAGTAGACTCGCTATTATAAAAGTCGTCGAATTGAGGAAAAAAGTGCGTTATAAAGGTATACGAAGGCGCGCGCGGAGCGAGGGTATTGCGGAGGTAGTAGATATAGAGCGTAGAGGTATAGGTATCGATACGAAGGTTAAATATAGCGGTAGTATCGCGGTATCGCTAGGCAATAGAGTAAGCTTCGCGCAAGCCTATATTATAGTAACGTTAGAGCAAGGAAAGAAGGTAGGCACGGCTAAAAAAGGCAGGTACGGCTAAAAAAGGCAGGTACGGGAGACTTTGAAATATAGCCGGTATATATAGCCGGTATATTAATAGGCGAAAGCCTCCTTTTAATAAATAGCCGGCGTAATAATAGTATCTTACTATAGTATAGATATTCTTTAGTAATGCCTTTACTAGCTATAGTAATCTTATAAGTAACCTAGGCCTATTGCTAGTAAATATAAGAAATATTAGGTAGGCTATACTAAATAAGCTAGTTATTTAGTAGGAAAAGGCCTACTACCGTCTCTATATGCCGGCTACGAGTGCCGGCTATCGCTCAAAATTCAACTCCGCCCTATCTCGGAGGCTAAGGTACCGAGCGGAAACCCTATAGCTTATATTTACTCGGTTATCGCGGAGCGCTTATAGGTAAGGTATTAGAAAAGAGTATAAAAAGTACGAGAAGAGTATCCTAGGATATAGGTCGTAAGTAAATAAGAGTAGTACGCCTAGTTATTTGTAAGTAAATAAGAGTAGTACGCCTAGTTATTTATATAGTACGTTACTCTATACGACTAAGAGCCTATATTATCTTATGCTTCGCTTATAAGACCTCGACTCTACTAGTATACTATCGATCTCTTCCTCGGTCGCTAATATGCTATCTTAATTCTTCTTTGAGTTGCCGGACTTAGTGCGTATCTATAGCTATACAATAGCGCTACGTATTATAGAGAATTTCTCGTTAAAGTTTCTCTCTCGTAGGCTTACTATCTGCCTCGTAGTATAGAGGATTAAAGTACTAATGCTAAAGAATCTCCTTATAGTTAGGATGCTAGGGCTCCTTAGGACCTTTATGTTTTAGGTCTAAATAGAGACGTATTATAAACGTTCTATCGCCCTTTCGCTTACTACCCGCTAGGTCGCGATATGCGAAGAAACTAATCTAAATATAGCTCGTCTCTATAATAGCCGGGTAAATATAGAGCGCTAGGTTTCTACTTCGTGCCTTAGATTTAGGGACGGCGCGGAGATAAAATCAGAAATATAGCCGGCACCTATAGCCGGTAAAAGGATGCGAAAATAGGCCTCCTCCTAGGTTAATCTAACGACTAAATACAATTTCTAACTAATCCGCTATAAACCGACGCCGAATTTTAGCTAGAAGCTATATATCTTTATTTTAAAGAGTAATCCGCTTCGTATAGATAGTAAGGAGGTTTAAAAGCTTAAGCTCGGTTACGAGAAATGCCTTTATAGCTTCCTAAAGAGCACTAATCGCCTTAGCCGTAAATCGTATACTAGACCGAAAATCTAATATAATTTCTCGGACGAGTCGCTAGAAAGGAGTCTTAGGGATTAAAAGCTCGGTCCCTCTTTTGTTTTAGAAAAGCCGGATCTAGCGAAGGGTAATAGTACCTAGTTTAAAGCGCCGCTTCTTTATCGTCGAGTCCTGCCTTGTTCCCTTTCTTTTAATAGAAAGATAACTTTTCTTCGCGATAGTCTTCGTCTGCCTACTCTTTTTAGCCTTCTCCTATCTACCTATAGCCTTCTTGTTTTTTAGTACTGTTTTCCGAGGAACCCCCTTCCTTCGTATATACTACGGAGAGCCTTACTCTTCCGATATCTCGTTCTCGCTACGGTCTCCCTATACTTAGCTTGCTTTACCCTTGCCCTTTAGCCTCTAAAGATATTTATCTGCGCGTTTAGGCGACGAGGGCATATTAGTAGGACCTAGAAAATTAATAAGTATATAATCGTAAGGAGACATTAATGCTTCTTACCTTCTAGAACAAATAGTCTTCTATTAAACCGCCTTAGTAGGTTATCGTTAGATTCGAATAAAGGATAGTAGCTTAAGGAAGGGGAGGTAGCCGGCTTAGGAAGGCCCGAAGAGCCGAATCCTTAAGGTATATTTGTCTTTAAGAATATAGGGAAAGGGAAGAAGGAGAGGAAGAGCGAATAGAGAATTAGAAATAGTCCGTAGGTAAGCGGGGTCGGTTACTATAGCAACTAGTCTGTTTAGGTCCTAGGAATTCGAAACACATTTCGGATATATACCGGCTATATACGCTAGCTATATTACCTTATACGTAAACGCTTCGTCTCCTTAAAGCTGCTCTAAGCCTATATACGTTTCCGCTTCTCGACCCGGTATCGCCTTCTACCTCCGCCCTCCTCCTCTTCGTTATCGCTAATTAGGGTTTCGCTTAGACTAAATTTCGTATTCTCTTCGCGCTCCTAGGTTTCTTCGATCTTAAGGTTTTCTAATTCCTCGATTAATTTCTTTAGTATAATCTTTAGTAACCTACCTTAGCGATTCTAGTAGAGGAGATAGTATCGGAATACTATAATAGATTCGAAGGTAGTAGGCGAGTATATTCGATTAAAGCGGCCCTAGTAACGAGCGATACTAAAAGACCTCTTATAGCCTATACCTACGCTCGGGATAGCGAGGACGTCCCGAGCGACCGACGCTATCGTTAGAAACTTAGGCTCTAACCGCTGCTATATAGCGAGAATATCGTCTCCGAATTCGTCTAGAAGACCGGTAAGATCTAGAGATTATTAGCCCTTTTTCCGAGCCTACGGGTTTGTACTTACTCGCGCGCCGATAGAGATCGAACTCTTCTTTATTTACTTTAGTAGTTGCTTCCTCTTCTGCCTCTACTTCCTACCTACGAAACAGATATAATATCGGAGCCTTCTAAACCTTCTTTTTCTTTATAGGAGCTGCATTTAGACTAGTTTCTTTCCGACGCTCGTAGAATATCTTTTCTAGAATAGTCTAGTAATGCTTCGGCTATACCTCGTCCGCCTTCTATTCCGGCCTCTACTAGTATATATCCTTTTCTACTAGGTTAAGCAAGTACGTAACGCTATAGATATCCCCGAACGACTTAAAGGTAGTACTGTAATATTTATATAACTTAGTATAGGAGGTGTCTATAGCTTTCGTTATAGCTACTTTCTAGGGAACGCTCTTCTTAGCTAGCTTAGCTACGGTTTCCTCGAGCTCGTTAAAGAGCTAGTTATAGTACGTAAAGACAAGGTAGATCGTCGGTCCTCGGGTTCTTCTAATCGTAGTAGTAACCTTCGCGTAATACTTACTAATATCGACGAGATACTCTGCTTAGCGCTATTCGGCGGCGGTAAGGCCGAGCTACTTAATACCCTCGGAACTCTAATAGATCTCGAGAGCGGTACGTAAAGTACATCCCCTCGTAACTATATAGAAAGTCGAATCGAACCGGGTCTTAACGTCTTATATAAAACGGAGTAGGCGCTAAGGAGGCCGCTTTTGCTATCGCTTATTCTATGCGATATTCTAGGCATCGGTTTTAGGGCGCTCGATTAGGTTCTTTTAAATAGCCTTGAATTGGTTATATCTCTATAAGCTCGAGTTCGTATATATTGCTAGACGACGAAGCTAGAGAAAAAGAGTTAGAACTATACTAGGTTGCCGGCTATAGGTACCGGCTACGGACAAAAGTTATACCTTATATAAAACGAGAGCGAGGCTCTCTACCTTATCCCGTCTTATTACTATAATAAGTTTCTCGACTTTCGACTTTGCTTTATCCTTATCTAGGATCTTCTGTTAGTCGTCGTTTAATAGTGCAATTTTAAGCGTCTTAAAGAGGGCTCGGATCGCGATTTAAACTATATAAGCGAGATAGGGAAACTTCTATAGGGATACAACTAGCAACGACGTCGGCTCCGATTTAATAGGGCTAGGGCTATTAATAAGCTCCTCTTTATCGTTATTATCGTGCGTATTGTCGTACGTATCCGGAATCGTAGCGAGCTTAATATTCGGAAGATTAAGCTAGATTGTAGACCTTATAATCTCCTCTACGTACTCGACCCTATCGATATAATTAGTAATTTTAAAGACATATGCGAGTGAATTGTATATATAACGCCTTATACAATGTTCGATTATTACTAGCGTTGTCCGTAGTAATCGAGATCAGTTTCGTTGTTATACTAACCCTATCTATTACCGTATAGACAAGCTTCGCTATATCCTTACTAGTATAGGAACCTAGAATTTTAGGGAATCCGATTATAAGTTCCTAGAGTTTCTAATCCGAATTGATAAAGTATAGTATAATCGAGAGGAAGGAGGCTCTTATAGTCCGGCTTAACTAGCTATCGATAGTAATAGCTACTCGGCGAGTATTACGGAGGATCTCCCGAATGTCGTCTAACGTAGCCTCTTTGTTCTTTTCGAATATAATACGCTAGGTTATCGCGCCGAGAAATAGGGGAGGGTAGTTTATAAGATATAGGTATATCTTCTATATAGACTCCCTCTCGTAGAAGTCTTCCGGAAGACCGTTTATAGCTAGCATTTCGTTTGCTAGTTACTTAAAGTCTTTAGGGGAGAAATCGGTAGCCTTTAATCCTAGAGCTTCCTTAAGCGTAGCCTATAATAATTAGCTAGACCTCTACGGTTGATTTAAGTAGCCGGAATCTATAGCCGGTAGCTATAGCCGGTAGCTATAGCCGGCATTTTAGAAGACGTACCTCTTTCTAGAACGCTATATCTATATTAACTCTCCTCTCTCCTTAAGATTCCCGATACCGTTTAGAATAGAGATAGTTCGTAGGCGATAAGTTCCTATCCCCTAGTTTTGGGTATTTTAAGATTAAACTGCAGAAGTTGCAGACAATTACTAGTTAACCTTTAAGTCGAGAAGTCGTATAACGGTACAATGCCCCCTCTATAAAGAACTTCTAGAATGTATCCGTTCGCTCCTTACTCCCCTATCGCATCGAGTACTTCCGGAGTTTATACTCCTTTAAACGTAAGTATAAAGGGAACTATATCTTATAGACCTATTAATTGAACTGCTCTATATACTCGGGTTTCTAAAGATACGCTTAGCTAGCCTTTTCGAAGATTTCCGGGTTAATACTCGATGTTCTTATATCTCCGAACAACCTTCTACTTAGACTCCGTAAAGGTAAGGACTAGGTAGTAGTACCCTATAATAAATTCCTACTACTAGGATTCGGAGAGGATGAATCTAGCCCTAATCGTCGTCTAGGACTCGATAGGCTCGAAGGTAAGTATACGACCTCCTCTCGACGTTGTCGCAATCTCGCTCGTATACTAGACTATTTCGACTGTCGTCTCGTTATTACCCTTCCTAGTATAGCTCCTAGTGTATATACAATGTCGGTCGGCATGTTTTAAGGTTTCGTACGGTAAGGTAAGGACTTAGGAGTAGTAGATATATACTAGTAGCTATAGGGAAACACCCTTTCTTTTATAGTATCGTATCGTTAGGAACAGCTAGGTAGTAAATAGCTAGCTACCTTTTTTTTTGTTTCCTAGCTACCTAACTACTAGATTTTTTTTTCCTAGCTACCCTAGCTAGCCTAACTACTAGAATTTCTTTCCTAGCTACCCTAACTACCTAAATTTTGCCTTCTATATAGCGGCTCTCTCCTACTAACGGAACCGAGCTACTATACCTAACGAATCTAAGCTCGTTTTTAGTCTTAATCTATCCTCTTTCGGTATAAGATACTCGATAAGCAAATGCTTAGGCCGAGTCTAACTACGAAACCTAAGACTAACTAATAGCTCTATTAACTAATCCTAATCCTCGAACTCCTTCCGCTTCTTAGTAAAGACCTTAAAGAGCGCTCGAGCTTCTTCGGGTACCTACGGAGTAGTCGAGATAAAGCCGTATCGCTGAAATAGGTAATCCTTCGGAGGCTTATATAGAGATTTAGAGAATTCTAACGCTAACCTATCCTACTAGTAGCTTAGATTCCGGATATAAGCCCTCTCTGCCTTAGTAAAGATTTTATATAGTAGTAGCACTCTGCCTTCGAGAAACGCTTTCTATTTAACTGTTAGTATCTACCGGCTACGAACGCTAGCTATATATGCCGAGTATAGAATAATTACCTGTACCCCTTCCTCCTATAGTAATACTTCTACCGTCTCTAGATACCTAGCCCCGATCGCATTAATCGCAAGCTACTTTGCCTTTATAGACGTAAAGGCTTCGCTCTAATACTAATAAAGAAACTTCTACTCTATATCGAGGATATAAAGACGACTAGTCTCGATTCTAATCCTTGCTAGCTTTTCGTAGTAGCTTTAACTATAATTTTCTAGATTAATAGGACTTATGCCTTAGCCCTTTACTAGTATCTCGTCTCTTTAACTATGCTCGATCTACTCCTAGCGCTTATCGTCTATAGCGTTAGGCCCTAAGACTGTACCTATTACTAGATCGACGTATAGTATCTCCTCGCTTTTTTTAGTTCCTTTATTCGTAGTATTAAGCTCTATCGCGGCATCCTAAACTCTAGTATTATTATTCTCGGCTATCTAAACATCTCCGTTACTATCGGTCGTATCGATAGAGGTAGCAGCTACAGGTCTAAATACTATTAGTTAACGTGTTAAAGAAAAATATGCCGGCTATAGCTACCGGCTACGGCTACCGGCTATAGCTGCTAGCTACGGCCGCTAGCTAGATTAACTTACGCTGCTAGAACTTTACGCTCGAAAACTAGCCGTAATTCTTTCCTCCTCTTAGCCTTCTCTTAGGTTGTCTTCTTATTCTAACCTTTACTTTTTTCTATAGGCGCTAGCTATCGATAGAATGCCTTATTCCGCGCCTTTCTTCTCTTATTCTTAGCTCTTTTATCCTTATCTATCTTATCCTTTCTCTCGCGGTCTCGTACGGAATTCTTCTTCGTAGAGTACTCCTTTTTAGTCTTACGCTTTTTAGTCTTACGCTTAGGTAAAACAAACTCGCGGTCTTTAGTTCTATCTTCTGTTTAGCGCGCGGCGCGCTTCTCTCTTGCTATTATAAGGGAAAGGGGTAGGGGCGCAGCGTATAGTAGTTATTGTCGGTATAGGTATAGAGGAAGAAGTCGAAAGTATAAGAATATCGCGAAGCCCTAATTGTTACCGCCTACGTAACGTTATATAGGTAAGCTTTCGCAACTACGGCAACTACGCCCTAGCAATAGCAACTACGCCCTAGCAACGGTAACTACGCCCTAGCAACGGCAACTACGCCCTAGCAACGGTAATAAAGCGTAGTAAATACAACCTAGTAACTATTATAGCCGGCAATCGTAGCCGGCAGTCGAATAAGAGTATCCTTATAGCAAAACTACGCCCTAGTAACGGCAACTACGCCCTAGCAACGGCAACTACGCCCTAGCAACGGCAAAAGAGCGTAGTAAATGTAACAGAGTTACTATTATAGCCGGCAATCGTAGCCGGCAGTCGAATAAGAGTGTCCTTATAGTAAAACTAATATAGTCTCTAGTTTAAACTAGGAATCTATATAGTTCGAAAAAACCAAACCGGAACTAGGGAGCTAGTTCGCCGCTAAGAAACCAAACTATATACGTTTAGTGGTTCGGAAACCGAACTACTACGGGGTCTATCGATTAGTATTACTACGTCCGTAGAAGTACCTATTCTTACTAAAGGAGCGCCCTTATAGACTAAGTTATAGTTATAGTCTAATACCGCGCGAGTCGTAGTTTCCGTTTTATCGAGCTTTTAAGTCGTATATCTATATCTTTAGAAAGGCAACTAGATACGAGTTTAAGTAGTATAAGCCGTAGAAGAATAAGAATAGTATTAGGTATCGCTACCGCTAGGTATATATTTATTTTAGCTTACTAGATAAGCGTACCTAGAAGAAAGTAATAAAGCGAAAGTTAGCTTTAAAGAAGATAGGTTATAAATTCTAGTTCTACGATATTACTATTAACCCGAGCTAGCTTAAAGGTTAATACTAAATAGGTTATCCGGTATTCTACTAAAGAAGATTGCTACTTCTATAACTATAATAAGAACAGATTAGATATCGTCGCCCTTACTATATATAGGCGCTACTCGAGATCCGCCGGAATTCCTAGAATAACTAGAGCGCTTATAGTAGTCTTCTATACTAACCGCGAAGATTATAGCCTACTTTTGCGGCCGTAGTATTATTCTTAAGCTAAAGGACGTATAGACTATCGTATAGGCTCGTAATATAGACGCTTAATAATAGATAAACTAGGCCTAGGGTATAGTTAAGTTATTAGATAAGAATAGTATATTCTACTATTTTTACGAGAACCCTAAGAAAAGTGCTATTTAAAGTATAGTTACGCTCTACCCTAAGATACTTAAGGCCTTTAAAGATACGCTATATACCCTTATTATTAATACGACGTATTTAACTAATATCTATAGTCTCGAGCTTCTAGATATTGTCGCTACTAGACCGATAAGTAATACTATTAAGCTCGGCGTTAGACTTATTTAACCGAAGCCTAATTAAGCCGATTTTACTACTTTGTTATAGTTACTAATACTATAGAAGGGTCTTAAATAAGCTAGTTATCCGCTGCCTTTCGCTACTACTACTAGTTAGAAAGTCGCCCTAATACTAGCAATTAAAGAGGTCTATTTAGGCTTATTAAATATCGTCTATAACTAGTATCTATAGTAAGATATATTAACTCGTATCTATAAGGAGCGTAGCGAATCTAGCTAGGTAAAGTTAAAAGGGCACCGACGGCTCGGAAACTAGATAATATCTATCCTATATTTATAGCCTATCTTAATAATAACTAGTAGTGCTATAAGACTTATATTATCGACTGCTAGACTAGTAAAGTTTTATACTTTAGCTATAAAACAAACTCGCGAGTTAAGGCTACTTATAGACGTATTAAAGCCTAGCTTAACTATAGTAGCCGGTACGATATCTTTATCTTATTTATAAGCCTTCTTAACTAGTAGAATAAAGGGTATTATTGCTATTATATCCGCCTTACTAAGAACCTAAAAAGATATATTAAGATACTTACTAGACTACTTTAGGCGAGCGTTTCTCGAGTTATAAGCGATTACTATCTTCTCGAGGTTAAGAATCTATACTAACGTACTAACGACCTTCTACGGACTATAACTAACGATAGTAGTAACGAGATTAAACACTCGGCGTACTCGTACCCCTACTTATAATACCGCTATAACTACTACCTTTATAAGACATATAGTTATCCTTATAGATACGATATTATAGGGCTTCTTAGAATAGGTAGAAGCCGCGCTATACTATTGCCGAGCTGCTTCTATAACTTATAGGTACTAGTTAATTAACTTCCGTAGAACGTATAATCTACGAAAACTAGAAGTAATCTTTAGTAACTGCTAACCTCTTACTAGTAGAGCGATATTATATACTATAAAGCGTATAGTAACGGCTCGAGAATTAGACGACTTAAATAAGGTTATAGTAACTAAGAAACGGAAGACTCTAACGGCTAGAATAGTCGACTTTGCCTTAGAACTAGGCGTATCTCTTATATAACTTTGTACTATAGTTACTAATTACTATAACTTAAAGTACGTAAAGAGCTAATACTATACTTAATAATACTCTTACTAGAAGGCTAATCGACTATATAGCTCTACTTACTATCTAGCTAGCTTTAAGTATTATAATCTACGAGTTAAGCCTTTATTATTACTTCTAGTCGCTCCGGAGCTATCTTCTAAGCTAGATCTACTTCGCCGAGAAATTAAAGACCTACGAGTATATAGAAACTAACGTCTATAGGCGGAAGAAAAGCGAGTAAAGTAATAAGCTAGCTATAGCTACTAGTAGGCGGTATTATATAAGCAATAATAACGATAGGCTACTTAGTAATAGTACTAGTACTAGTAGTAATAGTCGCTTATATAGCTAATAGGGCGGCTATTTTATTACTAGGTACTATAGTAATAGTACTATTAGTTTACTTAGTAGTAGTATTATATATAGTAGTAGGCTAGTTAGTAACTAAGAGACTAATATAAGCTAGTATATATAGTATCGCGTAGTTATAAGGCTATAGATCGTAGTCTATATAGACCTAAGTAGATAGTAACTAATAATACCTTAAATTTTACTACACTACTAATTTGCTAATAAACTTTAGCTTTATAGCTACTAGTAGTAGTATAGTAGTAGTTGCTCGGTCGAAGGGGCTATAGCGACGCGATTATCCGCTTCTATATACGATTTTGTGTAGAATATAGTATAGTCTATAATTAATCTAATTAATCTAGACCTACTTAAATTAAATTAAATTGCTAGTAACCCTAGATTAGATTGAATTAGATTGCTCTAGTAAGGGCTAAATTAGATTAGATTGGATTGCTAAATTAGTAGGAATAAGCTAAATTAAATTAGATTAAATTACTAAGCCTATCTAATCTAGCCCTTTAGCCCCTAGATTGAATTAGATTGCTTTAAAAAGGGCTGGATTGAATTAGATTGCTTTAGAAAGGGGCCGGATTAGATTGAATTGGATTACTTAATTAGCAGGAATAAGCTAGGTTGGATTAGATTGAATTGCCAAGCCAATCCAGATTGCAATCCCGGATTGATTGTGGACCACACTGATAGAACCGGCGATCTCGTGGTCTCGGGTTGTGCTGGGGCTCGGGCGGGTAGCTAGGGCTCGGTTGAGTCTCGAGGGTAACAACAACAACATTGATCGATCAAGCGCGTCGAGATAATAATGTTGTTCTACGCGCAGAGTTCGCCACGGACAACGGCTTCGACAACATGGCTCCGGGCACGACCCTTGCCGTCGTCGCCATACTGTAGGCCCTCCCCCGGGCCCCGGAACAACAACGGACGGATTCGATTTCGAAGCCAGCGCCTACCAATACCAATCCTTCAAGCCTCCTGGCCAAAATGAGCAGCACAGGCCAGTGTTTCATCTTTGACGTCCTCTAAACCGCATCTGAAACGACTCCGCCCATGCTCGCGGTCACGGCAGCATGCGGAGGCTAATAAGGTACTGTGTACATGCAGTAGCACCCTACGGCAACCAACCTCCGAGCACCGCTGTCGCCGTCCTGCCACGGCTTGCTGCAGCTGTTGGAAGTGTTGCAACCGATTAATGATTGGCATCGTGGCAGCGCGGTAGCGAAGACAACGGCGATACAAGGATACCTCCACCGCATCAGCTCCAGCTCCGCTCCGCTCCGCTCGGTGGCACTGCAGGGGAGTGGGAACATGCCCGAAGACGCATCTGATGGTGGAGAACACGCCATCCTGAAACGCCGCCTGACCGACTTCCTGCGCAAGACGGAGCCGCCCAGTCCGTCAGAAGTCGCTAGAGCATGCTCTGCCGACGAATTGACCGACCTCGGCTTTGCTAGAACTACCTGGCCGCCTGGCGAGACGCTATCACCACCCTCGTAGAACTAAAGTCTGCTCCGACGCTCGAGTGTCAACCAACATGCAAGCGCTATAACTTGGAGTGTATGTCCAGGTGTCAGGGTCCATCACGTGCCTGATGCCTGAGGCTGCAACTGCTGCACTCTATCTTCGGACTTCTACATAGATTAGTCCTTCTTCTAATACATTAGTTACATTAAGTGGTTATAAGCCCCCTACGTTTCTAATACGTATTCTACGTATTCTAATAGTTACTCCGACTGCTACGTAGACAGCGCTTGTTACTAAAAATTACGCTAATACTAATATCGTCGCCGCCCTCGCCGCCCTCGAGTGTTCTAGTAGGTGCTAGACTCGAGTCGGCTACTATTAGTGTTAGCTGTCCGCTATACCGGTTTCTAATATTAGTATTAGCTATCTGCTATACTAGAATATAGGCGCGCCTATCGGCCGCCCCTTTCTATATTATCGCTATTACTATCCGCAATAGCTCCCCCTATAACCTCTAGCGCTTATATAAGCAACATTCCTAAGCTAAAGAATAAGGAGAATTACCTATTATAGTCGTATGCCGCTAAAGGCGCCCTTAAAGGTATATCGGTCTAGCGCTATATATAAGGCACCCGCTAGCGACCCCTCTCTAAGGCCTCTAGTAAGTCTTCTAAAGAGTTTAAAGACCGCTAAGATAAATGGGACTCTAAAGATCAAATAGCGCGTACCTAGATCTTTGCTAATTGTGTTAGTAATATTTAACAATTACTACTTAGTCTGTCTATATCCTAGGAAGTATAGGACTTCCTTAAGAAGAAATATACTAGTAAAGGTAGGTCTACTAAATTCATGCTCTACTAGGAATATATTACCCTTCGGTATAATAGCAAGGACATTAAGAAGTTCTATAATAAGTATAAGAAGAAGCTTAGTGCCTTAAAGGATACCAAATTAGCTATTAGCTAATACTAGGCTGTCTATATGTTTATTATATAGATCTCTCTATTCTACGAGGCTTTCGTACAGATACGCCGAGAGCAGATGCGCGCCTCTAAATACACTATTAACGATAATATACTTAATAACATTATTAGCGCGTTGCTTAATAAGAATGTAGCTTAATTGAACTAGGCCTAATATAACGGCTTCTTTGGTCTTTAGCGCCAACTATAATAGCAAGGTAGCAATAGCAATAACAACGGTCGAGGTAACTCGAACTATAGCGGTCGTAGTAGCCGCGGAAATAACAACAATAGTCGTAGTCGTAGTAGAAACAACTAGAATAGTCAAAATCGCGAGAAGTGCTTATACTATTAAGGCACTCACCCTTCTAACCGCTACTACACTAAGTACCCTTACCTAAAGGAGGAAGACCGACTGCGTCGTAAATAGTAGAAGGCTAAAAAGAAGGGGGTATAGCAATAGCAGCAGCGTAGACTAACTGCTTAGCAATAGCAGCAACCGCTATCTAGTTAGAATAGTGCTTAGGGCCTATATACGGCTAATGCTACCCTGGGGGTGTTATTAGACCCAAACTACAATTACGCCTTTACTATAAGCGCTACTATAGTTACTATTAGCGACTAGGTTTCTACGGCTCTTACTGCTAGTACTCGTACTACTAATTGGGTTGTCGACTTAGGTACTAGCATGCATATAGTTAACGACCCTTTATTGCTTATTAAATATAAAGGCTGTTATATTCCTGTCCGGTTTAGTAGCAACACGAAGCACGCTACGATAGTTGGTATAGCTTAGACTAAGGTTGTTAATAAGCGTAGTATAAGCAGCATAAAGCTGTCTAATACACTGTATGTTCTAGGTCTAGCAGCTAACCTTCTGTCTACTAAGAAGCTTGCCGACAAAGGCTGTTTCTATCGGAATAACAAGCGTATACTGTTTACTATTGTTAACGGCTCTAAGGTTACTGTTGCTTAGATATACCGAAAGAATAGTCTCCCCTATCTATATATACCAACCTCTAGTCCTAAGGGTTAGGTTGTTGCTCTTCTATCGAAGAAGGGGGTACCGACAGGTACTATAGATAAATAGCATCTACGATATAGCTATATTTATTACCGCAAGCTACTAAGAATAGAATCTAAGGGTTAAATTGTTATTACTAGTACTAAGAAGGACTTCCGCAACTACATTGCCTGTCGTATAGCTATGTTATACAAGGAATACAATCGGCTGCTATGCGTACGACTATCTACGATCTATTACATTGTCTGTGTAGATATAGTTACTATTACTAATCCTAGTCTGTTATAGGAGCGCTATTTCATACTGTTTATATACGCTAAGTTAGGCTATCGATACGAATATGCTAGCACGCTTAAGTTAGGGGCTATAGTGGCTATTAAGGACTATCGTGTATATATCCGTATATAGACTAGTTACTCAATCCTAATCTACCGCCTCGATAGAGGGGGTAAATACGGCGGAAATTAGCTGTTAAATTAGGCTCGAGACGAGGGCATTGTACTGCAAGTTACTATACCTCATTCTTTAACTTAGAATAGCCTTGCTAAGGTTAGCAATTACATCGTATATACGACTGCGAGAAAGATAATGCTACAGGCTAACCTTCTAAAGTCTCTATAGCTATATACTGTTGCCTCCGCTATATAGGTCCTTAATATTACGCTAACCGCTAACGGAGGAAGCCTATATACTATTGTCGCTAAGGAGCTTAATTGGTTACGAACACAGCCGCGTCTTTAGTACCTTCGGGCGTATAGCTATACGTTAATTGCCTACGATTACAGTGTTGCTCGTAGAAAGAAGATAGACAGCAGAGGCCTAGTTAGTAAGCTAGTTAGCTATACTAAGGGCTCTATAGACTCTAGAAAGTATATAATCTACCTGCCTAATTAACACAAGGTTATCGCTTCTAAGGATGTTTAGTTTATTGAGTTAGATAGTAACCTTCTACTTCTAAATAGCATAGATCTATATACTAACCCTAATGACCCTTCTAAAAGCGAGTTTATTAGCATTGAGTCTATTATGCCGGCTCTGTTTAATGCTACAAGCAACGAGCCTCCGCCCCTATTAGAAGCCGCTAGTGTGGTCTAGCAACTTCTAGCTTAGCAAGAAGAACAACCTCTAGAAGGGCTAGTACAGGACTTGGCCGACGAGGTTGTTAGTCTATTGCTAATCGAGGACGACCTTCTAGACGTTCAACTACTAGCTTCAAGTAATAAAGATAGCTTTTAGTTAGCCGAGGAAGAACTAGCGTACGATCCTTACGCTAAGAAGGGCGAGCCTAGATAGTTGCCGGAGTTTAAGCGACTAAATACTATAGGCGCTCGTTTAATACGTACTACTCGAAGTAATAAGTCGGCTCGTAACCTGTTACGTAGCTATCTAGCTAATTGTAGTGTTAAGCGGTTAACTCGACGTATAATAGCCAATATACCGATAGCCTATATTAAGGGTTTTATAGCTTCCTATTACATTACTAAACAGTCTAATAAGCCTAAAGAGACTATTCCTATTCCGAAGAGCTACAAGGAGGCGACTTAGTCGCTATACTAGCTACAATAGAAGGAAGCTTGTAAGGCTAAATACAAGTTACTAATCGACAACTATATATAGGTTTATGTATCTCGGTTAGAGGTGCTAGAAGGTAGGAAAGTTGTCCGTAGCCGATAGGTCTTTACTATCAAGCGAGACGCTAATAGCAATATAAGCCGTTTTAAGGCGCGCTAGGTCGTCCGTAGCTTTATATAGGTCGAAGGACAGGATTATAATAAGACCTATACGGCTGTTGCTAAACCTTGCACGCTTCGAGCCCTGTTTAGCTTAATTGCTTATTACGACCTAGAGGCTAAACAGTATGATATCCTAACTGCCTTCCTTAATACTCTTATCGGCGACAAGTACAAGATCTACGTTGAACAGCTACACGGTTTTAAGGACCGTAGTGGCAAGGGCATAGTTTGCCTATTGCTAAAGGCACTATATAGTCTAAAGCAGTCACTAATGCTATAGTATAAAGAGCTTCGGAAGTACTTAAAGAGCCTAGACTTTGTACTAATAATAACTAACGTGTATGTATTCAAACACGTTGTTAGCGGCTCGATTATCGTTATCTACGTCGATAATATAATTATTATCGCCTATAGCCTATTAGCACTAGAAGCCGTTGCTTAGATACTAAAGGACCGATTTAATATACGAGAACTTAGTAACCTGCACTACTATCTCGGTATGCGGATTATCCGTAACCGCAACTAGCGCACTATCTATATCGTTTAGGATGCCTATCTAAATAGGCTTAGTAAGAAATATAGTATGCGTAGCCGTATCGGTCTAGCTACTCTAATAGCGCCTCGATACGTTAAGATATCGATTCAGCGTACACCTAAAGGCTATATAGCTAGTGCCGCCTTTAAGACTTAATATTAGGAGGGTATTAGTAAAGCCCTCTAGCTAGCAATAATTACTCGGCCGGATGCTTGCTACACTGCCGGCCTATTATTACGATTCATTTCTAACCCGACCGAGGAGCATTATACCGCGCTTCTTTAGCTAATTGAGTACCTAGTAGGCACCCTCAACCGCGGTATGCGCTTCTAAGGCATATAGAACGATAAGCTAAACTTTGCTAGTTACTATAACGCCTTATAGGCTAACGATCTAGTTACCCGCCGCTCTATAGGCGGCTTCTACTTTACTATTGTAGGCGGACCTCTATTGTATAAGTCCGGCCGCTAGACACTCGTTACACTGTTATTAACTGAAGCTAAGTATGTTTAACTTACTATAGGGGCTAAGGAAGCAGTTGCCTTAGCTCGCTTATTAAAGGAGATTAGCTATAAGGGCTATATTCTTCTAGTTACGCTATACGAGGACAATTAGTCCGCTATCGCTATTACTAAGTCGACTAGTATTAATAGCCGTACGAAGCATATAGATGCTCGAGTCTACTATATCTAAGAGAAGATTGCTAATAGTTCTATTATTGTACAATAGGTTAGCATATACGATTAGATAGCCGATAGCTTTACTAAGCCGCTTAACAAGATTAAGCACGCCCGCTTTGTTAAGCAACTAAACCTAGTGGATTGCAAGGCCGCTATTAAGAGCGCTATAAAGCTAGCTGCTAAGTACTAAGAAGGGCCTTG